TGTATTTTATGCTTATTTAGAGTATTGTGTTAGCTTAGCCACGTGCCAATGACAAACCATGTTGAAATCAACTGAGATGACATACATTTCTCTTTCTTCCTTTCTTGCTTCTCTTCCTCTTGCTCTCTCTTTCTTGAAGTAATTTAGTACAATTTAGTTTAGTTTTTTTTTTTAATGTAAAGACATGAATGAAAGAAAAAGGTCAAAATTGTTGCTGAAATTATTTTTCTGTTCATTTTTCACATTGAAAATGAAGCATGTTGCATCATGGGATACAGAATTCCATGCAGTGTGCTCTATTTTTGAGATTTTTTTTATTAGGATTATCTTCTGGATTATCTCATTCATTGCATTTGCATATACATACTCTGTACTTCATAAAACATAAAATTACTGTGTTAGTTTGCTTTTCTAATCATAGACAGTCTCTTTCTTAAGAAACGTGCTTCTGTAGCTAGTTCTTCTCCAGTTTTTGTCCCATTTGAGCTGTCTTTGCTTCACGCTACTGGTCAGACCTTGGGAGCTCAAACACTTTAAACTCCACTAGGCCACTGTCATCAGTCACACATGAGAATTGTACTTCCTCATGTTTATTATAAATTAGTCTTGGCAAAGCGAGGTTGGTGCTATTTTGCAGTATGAGCCCGAACTCATTCGCACGGTAAATTAACAGTTTTAGTTGCACAGCAAGTGAAACTCTGTTGAATAAAACTCCTTGAGGGATTTATTATTTTAACAGAACTTATTAATTTAGCTGCTTCTGGCTGACTCTGTTAGCTGCTTTCTTCTGAAGACATCTGCAGTCTGTCTCTCTCTCTCTATCTGTGGGTTTGATGTGAAGGGTGGCATTGCAAACTCTTTACAAGTCTTTCCCCCGATCAAAACACAAAGCTGGCAAGTAAAATAAATTTGAATGCACTAATTACATGTTTTTATTCATTTATTGATGCGTGTAGTTATTTATTTGTTTATTTTCTCATCTGCTAGCATGGATGATGCAATGGTATTTAGGTCAGTGTGGCAGAGAGCAGAGTGAACGCAGGGTCACGAGGGGAACAGGAAGAGAGAGGGCAGGCGAGATGCCAGGAGGCCATCCTTACACTGTAAAAAATAAAAAGTTGAGTTAATTTAAAAAAATAAAGCAACCAGCTGCAAAGCATTTTTGAGTTTACTCAACTTCGGTGGTTGAAGTTGTGCCAAATCATTTTTGAAAGTTCAGTGAAGGTGAATAAGGGAGTTGAGCGAACTTTAAAAAACGAGTAGCCACAACTACATGGGAATGAAGTTCAGTCAACTCAAAAAATCTTTGCAGCTGGTTGCCTTGTTTTTTTAAGTTGATTCAGCTTTATTTTCATCTTTTGACACGGATAGGTACTTAATTAGGAACGCTGTCCCTTTAAGACGAAAGGCATTCATGTAATACTGACACGTTCAGTTTTCACCCACCTGTTTACGTTCACTTAATCCATAACCGACTGTATTTACCCGAGATACTATACACGATAGACATTTGGACTGCTGTGTGTGTATTTGAGCACTGAGATCTGATCGTGCCTGTATACGAGAACTGAAGAAGTGGAGCGTGCGCGACAGAGAGCACTTCCATCAGCGCTATTCCGCCTATCCCGCCTTCACTAACTTTAAGTTAATCGACAATGAATTGTTACTCCCGGGAAAAACGGGACGTCTGGTGACCTTATCCCTACCTCTTCGGGTGCTGAGGCCATTGTTTCAGATCACTAGTTTGCGTTTTGTTAGCCTATCCATCCACTGCGGCTGCCATACTGATACTAGATATGCAAACGCCCCTTATCCGATTGCAATCCAATGACAGGGACGCACATTTTGAAGGACAAGACAGTAGCCTATAGGATGTATTTTGAATGTCCGGTAGTCCTCAAATAACATTATAGTCTCGCCTCGTCTTGTTAACGAAGACGCGGCATAAATTTTGTCATAGTTTTTATGGTTTTTAGGAAGTAACAGTACATCTGTCTAGTTGCAAATTGTAATCCAAGAGATTCAGTGTACTGTTTTTATCCGAATTTAATAGGAGAAAATTATTGGTCATCCAATCTTTTACATTTTTAACACACTCTGTTAGCTTAGAAAATTTTGAAGTTTCATCTGGTCTTGTTGAGAGATATATAGTTGAGTATCATCAGCATAACAGTGGAAACTAATCCCGTATTTTCTAATAATATTACCAAGGGGCAACATATTGAAAATAGCAGAGGGCCTAGAACAGATCCTTGTGGCACTCCATACTTTACTGGTGATAATTGAGATGACTCCCCATTTACAAGTGCAAGTGCACTTATCAAAGAGATCACCAATTCATCAGATGGAAACGCATTTGCAGAGGGCTGAGATGGCTTTAATAAACTCATACACACATTAATGCACATACACACATGTAGAAATATTAATGAAGTAGACACACATACACACCAGAAAAGTCTTGAAACTGGAAATTAATATAATATAATATAATATAATATAATATAATATAATTAACTTTTAGAAGTGAATTATAAAATTCAATGTATTAATGTTAATATAAAATGAACAGTATATTGTAATTTCATATGTATAAAATTTTAGATGACATTTATTATCATTTTATATTTATAATATTGTTTGTAATATTTCCAAATGCAAAGAAATTTCAGGGGGAAAAAAAAGTAGGTAGGATTTGAATTTATCCATTGGGAACCGATTTGACAATTAAATAAATATTATACTAAAAAATGTATCCAATAAATTTTTAATTTATTAAAGGAATGAGATACACCAACATACTGCTATTCATCCTGCAGATATTTGTCTCCGGGCCTTTTAAACAAGCTCATAAATGAAGACTCATAAATGTTTTTACAGTGCTCTCAGGCCACAAGCAGGCATCTCCTTTATAACCCTTTTAAATAAGAAATATTCCTGTTCTTACAAGCAGCACTGACTTGTTTCAGCCACAACATGTCAAAGTAATGTAATCTCGAAATTATAAACAGACAACCCTCATGACAACCCTCATACGCCCCCTATTGGAGAGAAACAGGCTTTAAACAGGCTTCACTGCCTACATAATTTCCTGTAGTCTTACGTAATGGGTGCAGACTGAGAGGGACTTGTTAGGTGTGATGTTTTATTAAAGGCCTTTGACAAGTGCATCTAACTGCGGGATGCACAGCCCCACCAAATCATCCAGAGACTTGCACAAGACAGTTTGTCTCTCCCACAGCGCTCTGAGAATGCTACACACTCTCTCTCGTTTTAGAGTTCAATGTTTCACCACCCATAGCTTCCACCTAGCGTAAGTGTGTGTGTGTATTTGAACACGTAGTACACAGCATGCTTATTAAATCAGCTGCAGAAAAGGGATTCAGGCTGTGTGATTGGAGCTACAAAGGAGGCCATTGATTAAACGCATCTTAGACCTGCTTAGCACAGAAGCACAGAGAAAGAGGATGATTGTTTCCATTTAAATCTCTTTCGCTTCCTCTTTCATTAACCAGCAGATTATTCCCATTCTGTTCTCAGAGTTCTCCACGTTAGGCTTCTTAACTTTTCAATTCATTCACTGTCCTACCTCTCTCTCCCCCCTTCTTTTCTGCAGTGGAAGAAAACCCTGTCACAACTGTCATTCGTTATAAACTTCTCTCCCTCTCGTAAGGACTCTGTGCTGATTCGTAGTTAATTGCTTCACAGATTTGAATAAAGCCAATCTGGATTAGTCCGGGGAATGACAGGCTAAATAACCCAGTGAGAGCAGACTATTTTAGCCAGTGCTGTACTATCCAAGCAAGTAAAACTTTGAAATGTTTAAGTGTAAAGGCCAGTTCACACCAAGCACGATAACTATAAAGATAACGATAAAGATATTGTTCTAAAAATCGTTCTCAATATTAAAGAATAGCTTAGTTCACACCACAACTATAACGATAACAATACAGAGGAACGATATCGTTGTGATCACTTTCAAAATGATTTTTTTTCCAGCTGATGAACAATAAAACACTGACAGCCAATCAGAATCCATCCTGCTGTAACGAGCTCAAGAATTTAAAGCGTCAGACGCATGTGCGCTTAGAATAAACAGACGATATCGTTCGCTGGTGTGGACGCTAATATCATTATCTTTATAGTTATTGGTAGTGTGGTCATGTAAAATCCTAGAAATGTTTAAATGTAAGACTCTGAATTTCATATGTCTTTATATCTTATAAAGGATTAGAAGTAGTGTCTAAATAAATAATTAATTAATCTTTTTAATGCAGATCATTACATAATATATTAATTAACTGTCACAGGGTCCTGGAAAACAGTGCACTGTATTGGTGTCTGGGTTCTTTAGCACCAGTTTGTAACTCTGCAAGTCAAGCGGTCAGAACTAAAAGTCACTAGTGTAAAATAGTCTTAAACGTGCTTGACCTTGGACCTGTAATCTGATGTGTCTGGATTAGATGTTGCAGTGTTAGGGTGGTCTCCTCATCGGTTCTGTGACCCAGTGTTGTGAACGGATCAGAGTGGAGGGTGTTTGGGTCTAAAGGGAGGGTCTCTGAGCTCTGATTTTCCCCACCTGCAGAACCCGGGAGCCATGAATACGCTTCATTAAGGGTAGAACACAAAGCTGGCTTGTCCCTCAGCCCTTTGGGCCTGCTCTGCTTCCACAAATAGAGTCGCTGTTGTTTTAGCACCGCAGAGAGAGCAGAAACAGGATAGAGTCACCACAATCTTTCTCTTTCTCTCTCTCTCTCTGTCCCACCTCCCTCTATCCTGAAATATGAAACTGAAATATAATGCATGGGTTTGGACTAGTAACCAAGCTTGTGTTCTATTTCCTTCATGCTGTGCTGGTCACAGATGGAAGATGGTTGAACACATTTGTGCAGCTGTTTCTATTTTCCCCCCATCCTATCAAACACATTGTCTTCCTTTTACATGCTGTCTTTCTCCCTTTCTCAGGTGCTCACATATTTCTTTTCGTCTTTGTTTTCCAGGTGCACTAGGAAGGAGAAGTGCGAACGGTCATCCGAGCCTCGTCGTTTTGCCTCGGACATAAAGCAGTGTGTGAGACTCAGCGTTCACCCCAACAACATCTCCGTGTCTCAATACAATGTCATGGTGAGCACTAATGTTCAATTCTCACCTCAGTTCCGTCTGTGTAATCACACCATAAAATATCCTTAAGGAATACTGAGGAATTACAGAACCCCTTTAAGTGTTTCTGAGGATAAAGCCAAACACTGGACATATTGACATTAGCCTTTACTAATTCAGTTATGGAGCCCATTTCTCTTCAGGCTCCATCATTAATGTGATCATGGTCTTAAGTTCAGCCTTTATGGATCTGCCTGTTACGCTGATGGGTTTATGAAGACACGTCATGCAGCCTGACCGTACCACACATGCCATGTTATTTCAGTGGCGTTTGGATCGAGTCACAGACATGACACAAAGCTGATCAGTGGTGTTTCTGGGTGGTATACTTCATGATATCTAGCGTGTCATTTTCTGATTAAAATACACATTCCGGTTAAGCCACTATTCAGAAAAAGAAGTTTACATGCTCCACAGCTGCTATTCTCTTTAAAAATACTGGAGACGTTTGCTCTTTCCATTTATTATGCTATATTTTTAGTGATTTTGGACAATTTAACAAATTAACTTTATTCATTCATGTCTTTAACAATAACATACAAGAGCTTGATTAACTGCAAAATGTAGGACAAAAGACTCCTATAAATGATATTTCTTTTAATGTGAATCTCCTCCTTGCTCCATAAATTTTTCTTTGAAGCTCAGTATTTTGCAACTATCTGTACCAAATATCACCCAAAATTAGCTGTTTGGACACGCACAGATCTGCATAAATGTTATGGGTTTGTGAATAAGATACTTACATAACTCAAAGTTCAGATTAATATAAGAATATATATATCATTCAGATTTCTGGAAACCAGAAAATTGGCTTAATTTGGTAATGTAATTAGGTTAATGCGTTTTCATGATAACCTGAATGTGACCAAATTCTGATTAATATCATAATATTGTTGTGCATGTACAGTAAACACAGTCATATCAACTCTGTTTCCTCATGCCAATCACAATGTGCCCATATCCCTTGTCAGGATGGTTACTTTTTTCTGTTGGTGTTTTTTGTTGGCTGATCCCAGCTAAGTGCTGACTCTACCACTCGCTTGTTGAGTGTGTGTGTGTGTGTGTGTGTGTGTGTGTGTGTAAAATCCATCAAAGCAGGCCATGGTTTCAGACTTTATCCTCATGTAATCCAGCACCTCCTCTGAGCCTTTATATCAGATTAACGTCTCCACTAGAGAAGCTGGCCTTTCAGCTGATTCAGGATCTGTATTCTGGGCCCAAAATCAAAACCTCAATACTAAGCTGTAAAAGAGCTAATAAACTCCATGGAATGATGTTTAACCAGGACCTAGATATGTTTAGATAACACTAAATCATTTACACAGCAGTGTTTCTCCATATGTAAGTACTGTATTACTTTCAGTCAGAGCATTCGTGTTGACTGTATCGGAAACCAGTCAAAGCAGATTCAGTAGATAATAATAATGTTTATAAACCATATATAATTAATAAAGTTGCTTAAACAATTAGAAGAAAAAAAACAGCACCATGCATGTATGTATAGTTTAATACAAAGGACCGAAAACCAATCACAAAGAGTAGGCTACTTTCTTCATTTAAAAACATGAGATACAGTGGGATGGGGAAAAACTGCCATAACGTCTTTAGACACGTTTTTTTAAAAGTTGAACTTGCATTAATTTTACATAGCTTTCTAAACATGCCGCTCTCTGCGAGATGCGAGTGCAACGCTGATAGATGTCCCTCTAGAAAATGTGATAAATATGCGTTCTGTGTGAACGGCTTGGTTTCAGTTTTGACGTAAACAACATCTTCTCCACACTGATGCTCTCGTTTTCCGCAATATATATATGAACAACGTAGCTGCGCCGCATCTAGTGGGTTCAACTGGATAGGCTAACAAAAGCATTCAAATGCAATCAATGACACATACATTGTCATCGCATCTCGTGCGCCACTGATAAGGCTGCCTGACGGCTGACGCAGACCTTAAATTCGAATGCAACGCTTTTGCATTCGAATGTGGATTTATTTTTTTTTATTCGACAAATATTCGAAATTCGCTTTTTTTTTTTGACAGCCCTAATGAGTTGGTTTGATGTAATATAATATGATGTAAATAATAATAATATTACTTTTTTAAGATTTATTTTTACTTTTATTAAAAGGTTCCATAGTGTTCCATCGTTCCATTTATGGAAGAATCCTGAAAAAAAATTAGCAAGGTTTCCACAACAAATATTAAGCAACACAACAGTTTTCTACATTGATGATATTGATAAGACATGTTTCTTGAGCAAATCGGCATATTAGAATGATTTATGAAGCATCATGTCAACAAGACTAGAGTAATGGCTGCTGAAAATTAAGCTTTGCAATATTAAAATAGAAAAGTTATTTTAAATTGTGCACAATGTTACTGTTTTAACAGTATTTTTTATAAATGTATGTGTATGTTTGTTATGAAAAGAATGGTAAGCAATTTACAAAGACAGCGTCAGAGAGAGATTGACCTTTTCCTTTAAACTGAAATTACTGAAAGGAAAACAACACATCTGCAATGCAATAAATTGCAAACTGTGCACAGAAATGCACTATAGGCATTCATGCTGTTTCTTGACCTTTTTCATTATTAAATATTTGTTTGAGGAGATAAGCACAAAGCTCCTTTGTTCAGTCTGCAGGGAGAATATAGGGATTGAAGTAAGTTTCTCTTCTAAAAGAAAACATTTTTTGACTATTTCATATTTTCATGTTATTTCACATTTAATCCATAAGCCTTCCCGGACCTCCTCCCAGCAGCAAACCACAGTAAAGCCCATCTTAAGAGGAATTTGCTCGAATATTGTTCGAATTACTAAGTGCATTTACCAAAGAAGTTTCTTTACAGAGGCTCTGATAAGCAGAGCATAGCACAGCTTTAGCATTATTCTGAAGAAGGATTACACTTCTAAACTAGTTGTTTACGGAAAACATCAATCATGACTGGATTTGACACTATAGGTGCTCTCAGAATTCATTTATATGTAGATAGATTTTATCCATGTGATTTTAAAGTACAACAAAGGTTACAATAGGTAGAGTCTCATAGCTCTCGGGGTCTCTGGGGGTACATCGACATCTCTGTTTCCCCCCACTCGCAAATCCTGAAGCGTAATTAGAAATCCGCATCAGCATCTGAAGTCCGTGAGAGTCTGCCGTCTTGATGCATTCTTCTGTTCAGGCAGGAGGTAATCAAAGACACCATATTCCTCGTGTTGTACCCACTGCTGCAAGAGGCCTTTTTATGTTTGTTTGTTTGTTGGGTCCCCCTCCGAGCGGGATGATTTTCATATTTATCGTGGCCAGCGAGGGTTTGTTCACCGCTGCTTGAAATGTAATTGAAGAAATTCTCTCTGCATCCCTCTCTAAAAGGAAAAATAAATTAAATCCCAGAGTGGCGCCACCATCCACCGGTGCATCCTGAACTTTAATGGGAAAGCGGAAAACAGCGAGAGAGGGGGACGAGATGGGAAAAAAAGTGTCTGCTACATGTCCCTGCCTTTTCATTAAACTGCAATCTAAAAACAGCCCCGGTCAGCCGTTCTGTTGAGTAAAGGGTGTTTCAGGCCGTATCACAGATGTTATGCTGGGTGCAGGGCCACTCTATGCAAGGCTGCGGCTTCCTATTAGTGTGGATATTCCGATTTCATCCACTTCACTTCCCATGATGCCCTCATAGAGCATTACTGCATGCTTTCCCAAATGGACACCCAACAGAGTCAAACTGACAGGGAGAGCCACTGTGGGCATTTTAAACGGGGCATATTTGTTGTCTTTTTTACTATATACGACTTCATTATTCTTTCTTCCTGCGATCTCCTTATTTTTGTGCTCTCTTTGACTTTAACTTGCGTTTCATATACTATTCAGATTGTGTTTCCCTGCTTTAGAAACCTACCCAGGGTAGAGGATATTAAGAAGGTTTAGAATTGGAGAAAATAGTATCTTAAACAGAATGGACATGGAGAGAGATGTGAGCATTGGGGAGAAAAATAAAAGATTATAAAAGAAGTGTGGTGGAATGAGTTGCTGTTCATTATATTGAGAGATCAGATCACAAAACTGCAATGTCTGTTGTGTCATTATGAGAGCAAAATAAAACAAAAGTTCTTGTCATTTCGAAGTCACAAAAAGTATTAATATAAATGATTGTGTATTTAAAAGTATATTTTACTGCATTCATGTTTTACTGACAATAAAAATTGAAACTGAAAGATGATAATGACTACTGGTGGTGCAACGTCTGTATTATATACTAAATGCATAAGTTGTATGTGGATAATAAACAATGCCAATGTAATGGCAGGTGTAAAGGGGGCATTTCTTTCAGTCTCATGACAGTTGCTCTTTCTCATTATTCTCTTTGCCATCTTCCCCTTCTGTTTCTCACTTCATCTGACTCTGGTGTCAGGCAACACATGTGCTTCAGAGCAGGGCTTGAAATTCATTCGAAGGCTGGGAGCCAGAGGGCATTGTGGGTAACAGAGATGGAGAGGACACACGGAGAGAGAGAGAGAGCAAGCAGCGGCTCTCCAGATGGGAGTCATAAAGAAAAAAGAGAATGAAAACTCTCACCCCATAGCCCTCTCTCTTTCTCATTCTCTCCTTCTCTCTCTCAATTTCCCACCCACTTGTGTTCAGTGAAACACATTAGAGTCAGTACATGCTGACTGATGGCTGACTGAAGTGTGTTGATGTCTCTGGACATTTTCCTCCAGGAAATTTAGGAGATATGTGGCCACTGGTTCAATGGCCTGATTTCGCTGTGTGGTTGGCCACGTGTCAGCTGGGATATTTATGGAACGACTGCGTGTGTTTTCTGGGATGTCTTGATGTCTGCAGCTGGATTGAGATTTCCCATGTGTGGAGTCTGCAGACGTCCTTCTCTCTCAAGAGCATTTCAAATCACAGACATAAGAAAATATCCACGTTACAGCAGTTTTAGGGGCAGCGGCAGCAAAAATGAGTTTATTCTGTGCACAAAGATGGTGTGTCAGTTTGTGACACACACCAAAGTTTATCCTGTCCGTTATTGCCTTCTATTTTCTCCCCTGAATAACTTCAACGTGTCTTTTCGTTTTCCTTGACAGCTAGTTCTGCAGGCACATAACGTGCCAGAACTTTCTGCAGGGGTCAACTGCACCTTTGAGGACCTGGCGGAGATGGATGGTCTAGTCGAGGGGAACCGCATTACCTGCAGCTCTCCTGCGGAGAAGGAAGTCCCACGCATCGTCATAGACCAAGGTGCAAAGATGTGCTGTCACTAACCAATCAAATACAAGGGGAAATTAGGCGAACTGACTGAATATTGGCATTTGTTAAGGCAATATGAACCAGACTGAGACTAAAAGTGAGAATATGACAGCTTTATAATATGAGATGCTGGATCGAGAGATCTACTCCAGCCTCCAGAGAAGCTGGATTTAAATCAGAGAGAAGGAGGGAAGACAGTCTAAGAAATAGAAGAGAGTGTGGTAGGCATAAACACCTGAGCAGAGATGGAAGTTTACATGCTCATTATCTTGCCTGCAGCTGTTGACTTTTGCCGCAGGACATGTTTTGTAATTGAGTGAATAAAGGTCGTCAAGAGGGAGGCAGTTTTGGCATTCTGTCTCCTGCGTGCTCGTCTGACTCTCTCCATTTCAGCCTTTCATTCTGAGGCTCCATTGGCACTGGGGTTTGAGAGATTTTTCAAGTAAAGGGATTGGATTGGATCTCCTGAACTGATGACACTCTTCACTCCATCTGCTCGGCTGAAAATGGTTTTGACAGCATTCACTCCAGCAGATAAGAGAGAGAAAAGATTTTTCAAGAGAGAACATTTCGCTGTCCTCTTCCGTACTCTCATTGATGCCGTTCTTACACCTCTGTTTTCTCTATGACGTGCTTGGTTACCCCGAGCGCACATCTGGGCAGCTGTCTAGAGGCTGGTAATTTTTCATAATATGAAAACGTCTCAACGTAAAGATAATGAAGATGCGCACTACAGCAGAAGCGGGGGAATACTCCTCTGCATGTAGAAAAGAGGGGGAAAAAAAGATTGTAAAACAAAACATGGTGGAAAAGAAGCAACAATGTTCTTTCATAGCGTCTGGTTTAGAAACACCCGCAAATTACCTTAGTAAGTGGCACAGCAGACTGGATGTGAGGTAGAAAGAGTGGTGCGCAGGGGTGTGATGTGTGTGAATAATGATGCATGCAAGTCTCTTTGGAGATGTGAGGCTAGTCAGGCCACCATGAAATTACAGGTCGGCCCAATTTGCAAGGGCCTGGAGCTCTAAAATGCAGCAGTGCAAACACACACCCCTATGCCACTGGATAAGTACACTATTACACACCTTAGGGTGCACACTCACTTATACACTCAGACATTACTGGATACATACACCATCACTCTCATACACATACAGTGTGTTTAACCCCAAATAGTGGGATTCATCATAAAAAATGTTGAAGTGGATCAAGATGTGCTTTTAATGGATTCTGTATGCACACATATACATACCCATGTAGTTATAGGTCATTTATTTGCTCGCTCTCCCTTATTCCTCACTTTCCTTCCATTTCTTAGTGTCATGGTAACGGTGTGTGTCCTGAGTGACTCATTAAAGGCAGACACACGCTGCAGCGGGTGGCAGGAGGCTTGCTCGCACACGCACACACATACACACACGAGATACCAGCCATCAAGGTAAAATTTAGGTGAACTAATTGGGACAGATTCATTGTCAGGCACACTTTACAGTGATTGATGAATGATTCGATCTTTGTTGAAGAAACCCCGCATGACAGGGAAGCAGAGTGTGTTAGGAGAACAAGTGGTTGAAGAAAAGTATGTGAGAAAAAGAGAGACAGGAAAAGACAGGGTGAAAAATTATGATCTTCCTTTGAGAGGGGAGTTATCATGTCCGGCATGTTGAATTAAACATGAGGTTCTTCATTAGCTCAGACATAAACACGCTGAAGATGGGCACTTTTGTGCCACATTTCCATTTACTCGTACAGGTTTCTTTCTCTCGCTCTCTGTCTCTCTCCTCCTCTTCTTTAACAATGTATTTATGGGAAGGGTTTTGGATCATTTTTGGCAGAGGAGAGCGGTCACCTTAATCCACGCACTATATAACCTGCTTGCTATTAAGACACTTAGCTTGGTGTCATTGATGTATAAAAGGCAACTGCCAATTTGCTATATACAGTTTGGTAGAGTGTGTTTGGTATGATAACAGCATGAAACTCTAAGTACTAACACCTTGAAACCCTTTCAAGGAAAGTCAGTGAATGGGGAAATACCAAAATCTCAAAAACTGCTTGCCAAACTCACATTTAAATATGTCAAATCAGCAACAAAATCTGACATGTTTTGCTCAAGAAATAAAAAAAAGTATATATCAGGTTGGTCCAGTCAATGCGCATGTACAGTACCAAGTGCGCATCTCAGGACTGTTTCTATGGGAACTGGAGCTTCTAAGCTGCTGGAGTGTTGCAATGACTTTATCAATTGGTAATTGGCTATTTTATTTACAAGACAGGACATATTCTGCCATAGTGCTCGCTGCACTTTCTCCCATTCATCATAAAATGAGTTAACTGCCTTGGAAAATAATGTAAACAGTCTTTGAGACAAAAATTGAGTAAACCTTGTGACCTTGTTGCAGTTTATTGTCACCCACCTTTTGGAACAACCTGTGGTTTCTGTAGGCAGCTCATTGGGCTTTAAACTGATACTTCTGTGAGCAGCACACTAGCAACTGTTTCAACACTCTTAATGTTTCCCCCCTGCCTCTTAGGTGACCATCAGATTGTCCAGCTCTACCTCAAATCAAAGGAGACGGGACTAGCTTTCGCCAACACTAGTTTTGTCTTCTACAACTGCAGTGTACACAAGTCGTAAGTATCTTTTGTATTTACAATGACATAGTGAAGTCGTGTAACATTCAGAAAAGTATGTGAGAAAAAGAGAGACAGGAAAAGACGGTGAAAAATTATGATCTTCCTTTGAGAGGGGAGTTATCGTGTCCGGCATGTTGAATTAAACATGAGGTTCTTCATTAGCTCAGACATAAACACGCTGAAGATGGGCACTTTTGTGCCACATTTCCATTTACTCGTACAGGTTTCTTTCTCTCGCTCTCTGTCTCTCTCCTCCTCTTCTTTAACAATGTATTTATGGGAAGGGTTTTGGATCATTTTTGGCAGAGGAGAGCGGTCACCTTAATCCACGCACTATATAACCTGCTTGCTATTAAGACACTTAGCTTGGTGTCATTGATGTATAAAAGGCAACTGCCAATTTGCTATATACAGTTTGGTAGAGTGTGTTTGGTATGATAACAGCATGAAACTCTAAGTACTAACACCTTGAAACCCTTTCAAGGAAAGTCAGTGAATGGGGAAATACCAAAATCTCAAAAACTGCTTGCCAAACTCACATTTAAATATGTCAAATCAGCAACAAAATCTGACATGTTTTGCTCAAGAAATAAAAAAAAGTATATATCAGGTTGGTCCAGTCAATGCGCATGTACAGTACCAAGTGCGCATCTCAGGACTGTTTCTATGGGAACTGGAGCTTCTAAGCTGCTGGAGTGTTGCAATGACTTTATCAATTGGTAATTGGCTATTTTATTTACAAGACAGGACATATTCTGCCATAGTGCTCGCTGCACTTTCTCCCATTCATCATAAAATGAGTTAACTGCCTTGGAAAATAATTTAAACAGTCTTTGAGACAAAAATTGAGTAAACCTTGTGACCTTGTTGCAGTTTATTGTCACCCACCTTTTGGAACAACCTGTGGTTTCTGTAGGCAGCTCATTGGGCTTTAAACTGATACTTCTGTGAGCAGCACACTAGCAACTGTTTCAACACTCTTAATGTTTCCCCCCTGCCTCTTAGGTGACCATCAGATTGTCCAGCTCTACCTCAAATCAAAGGAGACGGGACTAGCTTTCGCCAACACTAGTTTTGTCTTCTACAACTGCAGTGTACACAAGTCGTAAGTATCTTTTGTATTTACAATGACATAGTGAAGTCGTGTAACATTCTATCTATTTTCACAAACACTCAAACTGACTGCATTAATCCACACCCATTCCCTGTCCCAGGTGTCTATCCTGTGTTGGAAGCCCATACCAGTGCCACTGGTGCAAATATCGTCACACGTGCACCCATGATCCGAGCAGCTGCTCTTTCCAGGAGGGTCGTGTCAAACAGCCAGAGGTGAGTTACTTGTGATTGGTCACACATCGGGTTTTGTAATTGGCCCTCATCATTCTCAATTGAACTTAATTGATTTGATTGGTGCAGGGGTACGGTTCAGGTCACGTCCTGATTGTGAGAAGTTACCCAGCATCACCCCGTCACATTGAGCCGCTTCATACACGTCTGATGGCTTTGAATTCAACTTAATTCTCATTAAATCTTTTTAAAAATTCTGTCTGGATTCCCACCAACATCTTATTCCATGTAAATTATCAATAATATTGGCACTACTTGCATGCCTCGAGGCCACCGCAGGCCCATCAGATAAATTAAAAGCTGCTGTTGGGGCTCTGTGCTCTTTGCCAGAGCCAAACCCTTTCCTAGCTCACTCTCTGAGATGCCAAGGAGGGTTGCCGTTGAGTTTGTATCACTGAAACACCCTTTAATCCCTCCCTGAGGGTCTACATGGTGCGGATCACAATGTGTTTATTTCATTTGCATCATGCAACTGAAGAGAAATCGGCAGCTACCATGAAGATACGATTATGTACATCATGCGTGTGTGCTTAGCTTTGAAATGCGTAATGAATTATGAGGACACCTTCCCCCCGAGGCTATGTGTTTTAGCCACACAAATGTGTAGCCTCATCATTTAGCATTCATTAAAATCTTTCAACAGTGTGTTTCTCAGGCTGCCAGCATTTGGCGTTCCAGTTATCAAATGGACACGCTGTCAATATTGACCAGTTTAATATTAGGATTCCCTATTGTGTGTCGAGCGACTTGCACACAAAGCAGCGACTGAATATTAGCACATTTTAATGACATTTCCACTGGGTGATTTTGTTTGATTGTTGTTTAAAGGCAGGTGTTTTGTCCGGTTAATGAGTTTAATTTGGATTTCATTAACCCCTCATACTGGAGGTTTCAGATCCCCTTCCAAACTCCGGGTGGCTTAGAATTAATGACTAGCGATGTTTACTGTGCAAATCCTCCGAGCAGATGCTGACGAGTCAACTTTGCATGGAGAAATGAGATGACCTTTTGCATTGACCTTCCACAGATGAATTTCTGTGTTTTATACCAATTAAGGGATTGCTGAGAGTGATCTGAATAATCCAGACTTGTCTTTCAATGGTTTTTGGAAGTGAGAAGCCCCCCTGTAGTCAGAGCTTGTTTCAGTAAGCACCCATGAGCACAGGAGAACAGTCCACATTCACAAACAAAACGTGCTACAGCATCAGAATGTCGTCTCTGGCAAGATTTAACAACAGTGTGTATGCCATTCACAGTCTCTCACATTTAAATATATGACTGGTCTTAAATAAATACATTCGTAATAAATTCTAATATTCTAAGTCACATCATTTGCCTCTCTGTAAGTTTAACATATTTTGATCAGATTTTCCAGTTTTGCATCATAAAATAGAGTATCTAGTGAAAAGGATGTACTGTATTAGTGTTATCCTGTTATATAAAGTAGGGAAATTTGGCATAAGGTGTGTATATATTCAGAGAGATGCATGTGAGAAAAGTGATTAGCATTTTTAATGAATTTTCTATATGGCAAGTAAAAAGTGTTGTGATGGCAAACTTTTCCAGGTCTAGAAATGTGTCATGTTTTTTGATAAATTGCCATTGTACAAAACCATGCACATTTGTTTTGCCTATGGATTAGTCAAGAATTATTAAATGAAGCATTTTTTCCAAAATAGTAGCTGTGGGGTAAAGTATGTCAGATGCTTTGAGGTAAGCTTTGTCAGTGGATTAACTAATGGTTAATGTAAGCCTAGTAAGTCTTGTCATATTTCCCTGAAATTGTTTCAGAATTGGAATTAATATGGAATTATGGAGTAATGATTGGTTTTGTTTGTTCAGTCCAGGGATTTTTAGTAAAAATAGTTTTTCCATCATAGCACAGCTAATCTAACTCTCCTGTACAGGTTTTGATTGAGTGTGTATACAAAGGATAGTGCTGAATCCTGTCAGTTGCTGACCGTGTTGGTCCCCTATGTCTCACTCTTGGCCACTGGCGTACTGCTGCATGACTAAACGCACACCGGTCTGACCCAAGCATCCACTGCATTTTAGCAAACAACTTCTGTTATGGCTTGGCTTTTTACATCCATTTAGGAATTGCTAAGTGCCTGTTTATAGCATTACCGACGGGTAATGTGAAATTGTGGTGTGATTTTGAATAATAGATACACTAACAGTCAAAATCTTAACACTAGACCAATTTATATGAACTTATAAACCTTTTGATCTGAAGGGTTATGATCAAACACATTGAATTTTGTTTTGGAAAAAAAAACAGAGATAGAGAGAGAAAACAACAACATTAAAGTAAAAATAAGTACAATTTAAATTTTACTGAAGTATGAGGCGGAAAAAACTTTTTTAATGATTTAAACTGACTTTTTTACGCAAAATACCCAAAATATTATTGCTTCTTACAATACCACTTCTTTTCACACTGCATGCAGTGAAATCAATTGTGAGAGGAGTCTTCAATGTGCTTGTTGTGAGAAGAACTATTTGTGTGACACATATGACTTGCCACCCATGTAAAGCATTCCAAATCAGTCACTTAAGGTTCCATGACTGTTACAAGCTGCCTTAGAATTCAGCTGCCTATGTAGACAGTAGGAAGCAAGGCAGCTCACTCAATTTTGGAACAATATGGAGGTAGATGAGAAAAAGAAAGAAAAGGAGAGAGTTGTGGGAAACAGGAACTGATCGATCCAGTGAACTCTCTACCATCTTATTAAGATGTTAATTGACAGGCAAAATTGGCAGCTTTGCGCAGTTGAGCTGCAGATTGTGAGTAGGAGGATTTGGGTCTGAGTTCAGAACTGTGAGATGGCCTATGGCCCTCAGGGAGAAACTTTGAGGTAAAAATCATTTAGATCAAGGTGGAGGACAAGAAGAAAAGATCAGCTCGGGAGGGGAGCGAGAGTGAAAACAAACAGATGAAAAGGAGGGGAAGTGTCAGAGGTGAGAGAAGATAAGAGCACGTGTGATGCCGCAGGAAGTAAAATGTGGCAAGGAATGGGAGGGGAGGGTTTTTGCCCGTGGCGGTTGGGAGGCACACTAAAGCGCAAGGAGTGCAGGGAAGCCTCGGTAATCATCCAGCTAACACCGCAAGAGCTGTGGAGAGAATTAGGCGTTTCATCTTCTACCCGACTGAACGCTGCCATTATGCATACATACTCAAACAGCTCTAATTATGGATTTATCACTCCGTGCCAGCTCGCTATCCTCTGTTCTCTGTGCCAGGGCGTCTTCCTCCCTGCTCGCACTCAATGACTATCTTTGTCTCGGCGCATCTCTAACAGAAGCGCATGCACTGAACTTCATTATTTTCCCCCACCTACAGTATCTCTTTCTGTTCTAATTATATCAGTCCTGTTTCGAGATATTGGAGATTCAGCTGCAGTGAATTGAATGCAGTCCCCCCCCCGTAGTAAGCAATCAGGAGACCAATTGCTGTCTGCCTCACTCCACGTCCCTTTGACAAACACATCATTATGCTTCAGCTCACCCTCGGGCCTCTCTTGCTCAGACCAAGACTGTAAACACACTCTCAAGAGCCTCTTTTATCTGTAAAATGCCTATTCTTAATAATAATTTCCCTTTTTTTTAATCAAACCCTGCTTTGTTTTCCCACCTCAAATGTTTCACCTCGGGCATGTCTTGTCGGATTTGACACGCGTCACGGACAAGGACGGAAACCGCAGTGTGGAGTCATTTGTCTCATGAATGCATGTTGAATTACCGTCCCTGCATTTTTTATTAACGTCTCTTCCAGTAAGACTCTTCAGCTGTAACTGGCTTGAGGCTACAGGAATCATTCTCTTCCTGGACTTAACGGACACTGGCTCTCTTTCTGAGCCTCAAGACAGGAAGTGTGGCCAATTTTTTGATCTGCTTCAATTATATTTAAAGCAGCAAGACCACAAGATCTAGTTTGATGCTGACAGGGTGATGTGTCCGCCATTGTGTCCTTCAAAGTTTTTCGTGACATTCTTATGCGAAATCTTTATTGAAGCTGAAATGGGAACTGCCATAGGTTTCGAAATGAGTAATAGACTGTTTGTTCCCGTCCCACTTTCTCTCTCGCATTGTGTCTATCTCTGTCCTTTCTTCTCTGCCTTCTTGTAAAGACTTAATAACCTGGCCCTAGTCTTCAGTGTCTCTGAAGACTCCATATTAGAGCCTCCCAGCCTTCAATTATACTGTTGTTATGCTTGGAGTCAATCTCCCACCACATAAACCTGCCAGCGGAGCCCTGCTCATCCGTCAATAAGAGGCGTGGGGGGGGGGGGCCGGCCAGACACCTTCCTCAAAAAAGAAAGCGCATGCCAGAGAGACTTGGACGTGAATGGACAGAGATATTGGTGTTTTAGAGGGCGGTTTTCCCTTGCCGTGCCTTATTTATGACTAAGACCACTGCCAATAAACATGTTCACATTATATCAGGGTAATAGGGAGATAAATCCTTGGAGGGTGGTCTGGGGAAGGACTTAGAGAGGCCCTTGTAGACCACGGGGCTGGGTAGCTATTATGAAGGTGAGGGGGCTCTAAATGGGGATTTAGCGACTTGAATGTTGGCTGAAAGTCAGGTCAGTGTAGGGCTGCCCTCAGCGGAATTAGCCTGCGTTTTACGCCCGGCATTTACTGATGACTTTAATATCTGGAGCCTGTATGGGTGGAGATATGAGGGTCGGAGTGTGAGTGGAGTGTGTGTTTTACTGTCTATGCTGTTTTATTTAAAGCTGTAATTATGCATGTGGGTGGTGTATTTGTTTATTTGGCATGTTAAGATAAGTGTTTATGCTTACCAGCATTGGTGTGCTTGCGATGGTGTGCGTTCATGTGTTTTGAACTATAACACTAAGTGTCTCCTGTACTGTAAATATCCGGTATGAAAGTTAAAATGAAAAGGGGTTTATGGCTCAACCTCATGCCTATACAAAATATTACCCGACTGCAGCACATCTTTAAATTCACACTCAGTATTCAATCTGCATTCCGTAGCCGCTTTGGTCCCGATAGCACCGCAGTTTGTATTCATATTACAATAGCCGCCTGAGCACTTTGATCGCCCTGCACTGCATAAATACCACTCTGCGCCACCTCATTGGTTTATTTCGTAGTATCCAAAAGACAACGTTATAGCAGTCTTATAGATTGTAGTCAGGGACATGGAGAAAAAAACACACTGTAAAGTTCTTTATCCTCTTTCTCTCTGTAAAATTCTCTTTGTCTGCTTGAATTAACAGTACTCACTTTTATTCTTTTTGTAGATAGCTTCTCAAATTATCTATAATGGCTTTTTTTAAACTCTGCCCCAAAGCAATTCAGCCATTGAGCTTCAGACCATCGTTATCGGCCCGTCCTTTCAATCTAGGAGCTGTCAAGATGGATTTTGATGCTAAGAACAGGCCCATGCCCATTTTGAGGTTTGTTGGTCTCAACTAAGGCCTAACCTGAAGGAAACACTCTGAGAGAGTTGTCTGAGAGACTTGTGTCAAGAGATAGTTTTTGGTTCATCTTATTTTTGGTTTGTTTTTGACCTTTCAGTTTGTTGTTCGTTTTCCTGCAGGAATGTCCTCAGCTGCTTCCAGCGGATCGTATCCTGGTTCCAGTAAACATAGTGAAACCCATCACCCTTCGGGCCAAGAACCTGCCCCAGCCACAGTCGGGCCAGCGTGGGTACGAGTGTTTACTCACCATACAAGGAGTGGAACAGAGAGTTCCCGCCCTCCGCTTCAACAGCTCCAGTGTACAGTGCCAGAACACATCGGTAAGACTGTGTGTGTGTGTGTGTGTGTGTGTGCGCGTGTGATTGAGTGTGTTCAGTAAACGTATCAGCGAATTTGTCTGTGGACACAAGGGTACTCTCAGAAACAAGGCCCAGAATTTTAAGCAACACAAAAAGTCGTAGACGTGATAAAAGCGAGCGGTTGTTTGGAGAGAGCAGTTGTGTGAGAGCAGTTATTTTAGTCACAAGTGCATTCTGTCCTGAATATTTAGTGCATGTTTGCTTGTTCTCCTAGCATCAGCAGTGTAGGGATTTTGGAGTCCTCTCCACTGTGTGCTGTGATGACTTACCCAAGGATGAACCTGCCAGGAATGATAAAAACACTCTTCTAGCAGAACACAGCTAGTAAATGTGTGTCTCTCTCTCTCTCTCTCTCTCTCTCTGTCTGACTCTGTTCCCATGGCTACAGTACTTGTATGATGGGATGGAGATGAGTAGCCTCCCTGTGGATCTGACGGTCATCTGGAACGGAGACTTCAGCATTGACAACCCGGCCCAAAACAAAGGTGAGGCCTCTGATCCGGCAGCCCTGCTAGTACCCCTGGATTAAGTCTCCATAGCAACAGACTTGCAGCATCCATCCCCTGACAACCTGGTGGAGTTGACTGATGATAGCCCCTGTTTTTGCTTAACTTCTTCCTCATCTCTTTATTTCTGTCTTTTTTGACCTTCTGTTTAACTAAATATATCACAATATCTCATGTTCATACCTCTCATCTTCTTCCTGTGTGTATATTTTTGCACCACATAGAAGGTCAGAGACATTTTGTAGCAATTAGATCTACCATAGTCTTTAAAATTGACCTGTGTGTGTACCCACCTGTTAGACAGCCAGTCAGAGACCTATAGTCAGAGTCAGCTGTTGTTTGGCCAACAAACACTTTCTACAGAGAGGAAGAGAGATATAATAATGACAACTAAATGTAATTAATTAAACTCAACCCAGTACAAGCTGAAATCGAGTATGAAACCTTGAATAATTTTCACCCTAGTCTCAGTCTCAGACATCACACCCATGGACTGTTGGCTGAATGTCTGCTGCATAAATCACACAAAATGGGAAATACTTTGGGAGTTTCAAAGTCTTCATCTGATTGGTTGAATTGAACGCTAGATTTTCAAACATATGTGAAGTTCACGGCATAGATTCTTGACCACTGAAGACAACATTCTTGAATGAATTATTTATTTGTTGCACGCCAATCTGTTATCTCAGCTTTACATTTTCACACCTCTAAACATGAAGCTAAACAAAACTAACTGTGATTGGTTGCTTTACCTGTCAGTCAGGTGGCCTCTTGGACAGTCCTTGGCAAATTAAAGCGGATTCATTGGCCAATTAAAGAGTCCAGAACATCTGCAATTATTCTGTAATTATTATTGTAATATTATAATTTATGTAAACAATATATGTAGTATTATTTAATTATATAATATTTTTTGGTCAGATTTTTGCTTAAAACTATTTTCCAGTGGGGTAAGAAAAATAAACTTAATCCATGGTATCACATCTTAATATGTTTTTTGCTTCTCAAGCAATTTTGCTTCTCAAGTGATTTTCATCAAGTGGATGTTTAGATAGTTTAACTGGAAAACAAGACAAAAAATACTGATTAAGAAAATTATTTTTTGCACTTAAAAAGATGCTCTGGCCATTAAAGGAATATTCAGACTAATTGCAGAGGCAGTTTGAGCCTTCAAAGATTTTTAAACATGTATGCTCAATGTCAAGACAAGAAGAACATTTTCGTTGATATAAAATGGGATTTGGACATGCCATTGCTTTAATCCAAATCAATGAACAGTTCGAATTTGTGTGTGTTATTAAAGCGCTGTGTGTGTGTCTGTGGGAAGGTTAGGCTAATTTAAGAGGGGAAGTAAAGTGTGTGAGATTTCTCCCTCGTCTCCCGCTAAGGGGGAAACCCTCAGGGGGCAGCAGTTGATGGACGGATCATACAAGCATCTACAGGTGCATCTCAATAAATTAGAATTTATTCAGCAGTGCCACAAACTGATCACCTCCATGCCACGCCGAATTGAGGCAGTAATTAAAGCAAAAGGAGCCCCTACCAAGTATTGAGTACATGTACAGTAAATGAACATACTTTCCATTAAAAATGCCTTTTTGGTTGCCATGGAGATGAAACATAATATTGTTGTACCAGGGAGAGGAGGAGATGAGCAGTTATCTTCACAGCCGAGAGGAAGCAAGTGAATAGGGATTATATGATTTCTATTCTATATTCTATAGTACTTCAAGCCATTGCTGCAAATTACATCAGTATTCATTTTGCTTTGATTGATGCCCAATGGGTTTCCCAACTTAACTTGCCCTTTGCCCTCCCTGTATCCCCAGTGCACCTATACAAGTGTGACGCACGGCGGGAGAGCTGTGGACTCTGTCTGAAGGCAGACCCTCTGTTCGGCTGTGTGTGGTGTAAGGGAGAGAACCGTTGCTCTCTGAAACAGCACTGTCCTCACCCGCAGAGCATGTGGCTCGAGCACAATGGCATCAATAGCAAGTGCACGCACCCCAGAATCACAAAGGTAAAACTGTGCACCAGTCCACACACAAAAATAGACCGTAGCACAGAGTCCAAAAGTCTGAGATCACTAGTGGAAACACTTCTATTTTTCAGTTTTCTGATTTAATGTTTTTTAATCTAATTTTAAATCTTTTTTTTTTTGTATCGAAGCTTTTCAATGTGGTCTCACTGTATACAGTATATATAGGTCACTACCCATGACATTGGGGGTCTTTCCCAGGGCCGGGCTTGTACATTTACGACTGTTTAGAGGTGAAAAGATTCTCAAAGGTGAACTATAATTGCTGATACAATTTTTTTATTTAGAGTTAAGCTTATACTATCAGTTAAATCTTAAATTTCTGGGTTTTTGTCATTCTCAGTATAATATTATGTTCCGCATGTACAATAGGACTCTGGTAAACATAAATAGAAGTGACAGAAATGCTCAGTTGTACTCACTGACATATGCATGTTTTATGGTTAACCATCATTGTGAAGATGAACAGTTGATATAAACTGAAAAAAGCAAAGGAGGAACAGATGGGTGTATTGCTGAAAGAGATATACTGAGGGAAGAAGAATAGCAAGAAAGTGGAAGGATGGAGACGAGGAAGAACATTGAAGCCTCTGCACCACCACCTCCATCTGTAGCGCCCCATCAAATTGATTGATAAATATATAGCGGAAAGGGAACGCTACCTGTTTGAGTGCCACAGGCTCTGAATGACGAACAGTAGTTGTGTCTGAAGCTTGTTAATCAAACTCAGAAACTTGTTGGCACGAGAAACAGCTCATTCACAGAAAAATTATAAAAAAGTACTGGAATGAAAGTATGGAATGAAGTAGATAAGCCGTAGTAAGCCAATGAGATCACTGCTCAAAATCTTTGTACGCATCTGAATATATTTGAAAATCGCATGTGTAAAAATCTATTAGAAAAGTAAAAGCATGCCTATCCTGAACAAGCTGCACAATTATTAATGTCTGTAGTATAAACTGGGATTTATGCAGTAAAGTTTAATACTTAGAGCACTAATTATATCCTAAAATCCAGTTAATTCTGCAAATGTACCTAGATTTTTACAACCTTACAGTCTGTAGTAGTCTGTAGTTGGTCACCACCACTTTAAACAATCACTTCAGTGCTTTGTTTGATCATAGCTGAGGTTCTAATTGGCAATTAACACATTGAAAGATTGAAATGGAAGTAAGCCAAACGGAGCTGTGGGTATTGTGAAGGGACGTCTTGGACTGAGCTCCTCTATTTTTATTCCATCTCCAGATCCGAGCTTTCCTCATGTCTCATAAATACTCTCACTCTCTCTGATTATCACTCTCGGCATCTTTCTTTCAATTGATCGGCTCACAGGTCATAATGTATTCTAATGCACTATTACTGTGACATTGTAGATGAGGAATCTTTCGCTGACATTGAAGTAGTGATTAAATATTTTTCCTCCAACAACCGTTAATTAGCTTGTCAAAGTCACAAATCTAATCAACTCCCCATCTCCTAATGAAAAGAGACTACTCTGTTTCTCTCTCCCGCTCATACTCATTTACACTCCTGCTTCATTCTCTCAGCGGAAGGTTGCAATTTTACAATGACTTTCCAGTAAAGTATGAAAGTGGGTCTGTTATTTCATTTTAAATAATCATTTGGTGTATCTCAAAACTCAAAGTGGTCCCGAAAAAAAAAGTCCCTAAGGGCATTGTACTATCAAAGACATTGATAGTATCTTAGAAGAGGAAGACTATGATTAAACTGGATTACTGGAGAGATAAATTATGATAGCACTATAATGTTCCTTAAAATGCTTTGTCCAGACGGGGTGTGTTCATAGTACACTGGCATGTTTAAAATTTAAACACACAGTCAGAGCCTTTGGGATATTAATATTCCCACAGTACTCTGAAGCCAATAAAGAAACTGTGAAAAACTTGAAGCTCTCTGCTACGATCAGTGCAAGTGATGGGTTAAAGGGAAATTACCTCTCACCAGGCTGCTAATGAGATCTCTGACCTAAAGTTGGATCATTATCTGGTAGGAAATAATGACAGAGCCGGGATGTTAACATGTCTATATTCCCCTTTGGGATCCAACGGTCCCTCGTTTTGCCAAGATGAGGAATGAGTGTCCTACATTTGGCCTAATAGCCCAGCTGTCAATACACTTATGAGGCCCGACCTCAGACAAGTGTGTCCAGACTGTCAGAATATGTTTGATAGGCTCTTTTTATAGTGTTGATGGATAGTCACTCAATAAAAGAGCTGTTCATCTTGTGTGGTTTCAGCTAAACACTGACCTTTGTTATTCACAAGTGCATTTATTCACAAATGCATTGTGGGAATGAATTGCATGCTAGCTTTACTCCTCTTTCTTTCCCTCCCCCACATTTCAGTAGGTTAGGGTTTCCAGAGGAATCGTACACCAGTTTTTATTTTATTTATTATTTAAACTGTTATAAACCCACTGATCAGAATCAGAGTTAGAAGAATGGTTTATTCTGATTGGATGGCTGGGTCTGTTATGACTATATGGATCTTGCTTATGGCATTTAATAATAACTTCACTGAGCAGACATAACTCTGTCTTCATTTGACATCACAAGATATGTTTTATGGCACATGAATTAAATTAAGCCAATTAAATTAAGTGTGATTTCTTTTTAGTCGCTACATTTTAATGCACCATAAATGCCTTCCTTTAAGGGGTTTAATGGATCGGCAGCCAAGTGTTTCTTGTGTTAATTGTATAACACCAGCAAAAGCATGAAGATGCGAGTGATAGCACCGTGTGAGTGCATTACAGATACGTTAGCTCTAATCAGGCGGATTTGGTACTGCTTAGCATCCCTAGGAGCAAAGAATAAAAGATGTTTGATCGCCTGACATGCACAGATGAAAACAAGCATCCTCGTGCACGCCTGTGTTTATATTCCAATCTTAGCAGCATATGATTTTACATGCTGGTGTCGGCATATTTTCTCCCAGACGCCAACTCTGTGTTCATAAATTAGCATGGCTTTGTTTTTGCTATAGGCAGGACTCGGCTGGCTCAGCTGGCTGTGCGGCTGATCATTATTCACCATAAGCACGCAGGCTTTGCTGCTCTGACAGAGAGCAGCCCAATTATCCCACTGAACCAAATCACTCACAGCTTCTCTCGCTGTCGCCCACCCCTCACACTGTCTCACAATCACTGACTCCTGCAGGTGCACGAAGGAATCGCTAAGTCATTCTGCACTTCCTGTTGGTTCGTACCAACAATGAAGATGCCAGGGGGTGTGAGAGTTCTCCATGTTGTTTCTTATTTCATGGGAATGATCACACTTCCTTATGTCTGTATGGCGACTTGTCTACAGATCACCCCACTTCGAGGGCCGCGTGAAGGTGGAACACTGGTGACTATTCGTGGCGAGAACCTGGGACTGGAGTTCAGTGAGATTAAGGACTATGTGAAGGTTGCAGATGTGGAATGTACGCCAGTACCCGAGGGATATATACCAGCAGAACAGTAAGTGTCTAAATTTAGGAACACTTTACAAAACACTTTTTATTTATAGCACTTTCAGGGTTTACTATTGTACCAGGCCAGATTTGACATTTCAAATTTTTAACCTGGATTTAATGACTATCTGTGCTAAATGATGTCACCTCCCTTGAATTGCCTTAATAGATTTGTTTTTAGTCTCTAAACATTTGTTCTTCTCAGACGCAGCCTGAGTTAGCATAATGCAGGCCTGATAAATGTTGCCAAGAGCCCTGCGTCTTTTAAAAGTGCCTGATATGGATTGGCAGTAAACACAGAGAAAGCATTAAAGAAACTTTTAATCTGAGGTCAGGACAGCAAAAGATAATTATGCGTTATTTGGCAAGCATTTGAGAAAGCCCTGCTGACAGCTTGAAAAATTCTCCAGTATTATTGTCCTGACCTGAAAAACCCTATTTTTTATTCTGAATTTCTCTGCTGCAGGTTGCGGCAACACAAGTTTATTATTATTATTATTTGGACGCAGTGATTAGCTTCTTATTGTGATGCATGAGAAAGTTTGATACCTGTCATGGAACGAGGAGGCAGATTAACTCATTCATATTAACCTATATGATCTCATGCCTATATAATTATGGCAGAGACAGACATTAAAGTCGTTTGCTTGTTATTGTGGAACTGTTCTGGTCGACTGATTGCGTATGTGTGTGTTTTACAGGATTGTGTGCGAAATGGGAAAAGCGGAAAGAAGCCAGTTTGCTGGAAATGTCCAAGTGTGCGTTGGAGAGTGTCGTCCCGAGTTCATGGCCAAGTCGTCTAAGTACTACTACTTTGTGGTGAGTACCTCAGCAAATCACTGGCTGTAAAATAACTCCCAGTGAACTGCTGGTCTGTCTACTATGTTCTGAATCATGTCTGTATAAATACAAGTCTTTGCCACTTCAGGGTTTAAAGTGCTTGGATTTACTGTTGTGTCTCTAATAAAGAGTGAACACTTTGGCCATGTAGCCCTGATGTACTTAGTCATATCAGCGGGCACTTGACCCCACCAAGTGTTCAGTCAACACCCAGAGAGGCTAACCATAAAACTTGCATTTTACTGCTGCTGTTGTGTAAGATTGTTTCCTCCCACAGAATCTTTTCCCCCTTTGCACAGGCATTATTGCGCTTATTTTCATAATGTAATTTACTTAATATTTCCCTTGATAGGGATCTTGATTTACTAAAACGGTGAATAAACAAATGTATGCTTGAAGTTAGCTATAGAAAATAGTGTAAACATAAACTCATAAGCAAGGCAGGCAGGTGAATCATTTACCGTTATGCTAAGATAGAAGAATAAGGGTATTCTAAGCCAATATGCTTACCAACTGAGAAAAAACTAAGAAGAATCTTTAGTTTAGCATTTATTGTTTCGGTTATACAATGCAAGACATTCATCAGCATATTTATATGGTTGAGACCACATACATAAAGCGATTTTGTAGGATTTTTCGGATCAAAAAAGGTCTTTCAGCCAATAGGATTCCGTGTTTGATAGGATTTTGCATGACACTGGCCTCACTTATTTTTATATCTATCCTACACTTTTCTCTTGCTTCTAGTACTCCCAGCGCACATGCTGAAATAACACCCATAATCAGATTGCGATCCAGCCATCCAAATGAATTAAGCTGCAGTGTAATTTTTCCAGATATATAGCATTTTATAGCAGGTTTTATGCAAACATTAATAGCTTTTATGTCTCATTCAGATGTAGTAATTGGATTATGTGATTCCTGCGTGAGGAGGGCAATTGGTGTTCTGAGAAAAGGAGGTGATAATCAGATTGGGAAAAAGATACAGAGGAAAGAAAAACATGAGGGATTGCTGCCTCACCTCTGTCATGTGATGTGTGTGCTTGTAAATAATTCACATTGGTTTTTTTTACCTTGATTTCTACAGATCCCTAGATTGTCGAGTTTAAAGCCAAACCGAGGGCCAGTATCTGGGGGCACCATAGTTAACATCACCGGCAGCAACCTGGACGCGGGCAGCAATGTGTCAATCATGTTCAAAGACCAGAAGTGCACCTATCAAAGGTAGGGTTGAATGGAAAGGTACAGAGCATTGCCCTTTGAGATGTCATCATCCTTTTTGGTTAGTTTGCCGGTCATTCAAAGCCTCTGGCAGATGCAAACCACCAAAGAAAGTCAATACTGATCTTAAGAGCTTGAGAGTTTCTGATCTTTAATCAATAACATCAATAGCCATCACTCTAGTCTTGCATCAGGTACAACCACAGTGTCTGATCATTTGAGCAGAAGATTAAATTAGGTCTAGTATGCTGAATACTCTATACAGCCACATAAAACCAACAAAACCAAATCTTTAATAATACAAAACCAATTAACTTAACCAATTCCTAAAGCAGGTACCAATACACTTATAATGATGACAAAGGAGGAGAGACAATTTAACCTTTCGATTTTTTTTTAATTGAAAGGTTAATTTAGTTTTAAGCTTTCAAATATTTTAAAAAAATGCAAAGAACATCTATTCATACACTATTTTTTTTCTTTTTGATGAAACAGGAGAGGAGGACAGTGGATAACATGTCGTTCTCACGCCTCCATGCAAGGCTACGGAAATGTGTCTGTATCAGTGTTTGTGGATAAAGCCCACATTCACAAAGATCTCAAGTTTGAGTATGTGGAGGACCCCACTATCACCAAACTTGAACCCGAGTGGAGCATTTTCAGGTGTGTGTGCACTACAAAGCCAGTTAAGACGGGACTGTTGGGGAAACAACCCATAATGTTGCCCCAGAACCTGCGATGAGGGTGGAGGATCAAGAATATTATTTCTATATGTAATTTTTAATTTGTTCAAATTAAATATCATTGGTTAAAAGTCAATGTGTTGTTGATTTTAAACTAAAAAATATTATCTGAAGATTATTGTAAGGAACTGCACAAAGTGAAAGTTAACAAATATGGTCTTGTTTTCACAGTGGCAACACACCAGTGACTGTGACTGGGACAAACCTGGACATCATCCAGACTCCTCTCATCAGAGCCAAGTATAAGAACTTGGAGACGGTCAACGTAAGTGCAAACGTTTTCCACAGTAAACGATCACTCGGCCTTCACCTAACCTGAGGCTAGTGAACTGGAATGACCATTAGCAGACTATTCCCCCTGCTCCAATCACCTGTGTCGGCTGCGCACCATTGGATCCAGGACAGTAGCTGCATAAAAGAAGGAAATAAGGAAAGAGAGAGAGACAAAGAAACCGACAGAGAGCAGGAAAACTGCCAGGTCTCCGCAGCAGTGGCAGCAATGTTCCCTTTGTGCGGGAAAGAGGAGAATGCCGTAACACAGGGTGGATGCATAGACAAGGGTATCATGTTCCCTGTCTTTAGAATGGACCCACAGAGCCATGGGAGGCTGCACTCAGTGAGATCTGATTGAAAGGCAACAGAGACAAAAGATCGTAATGTTATCTTGTGCACGTATCTCACACATGGCCGCGTTTAGCATCTGGGCTGCGATATGATTAGGCTTTGGCACACTGCTCCTCAAAGCACAGCAGAAAAAAAGTCATACCCTACTTCGCAGTCTTTGAATGAAGTTGTTTGTTGGGCACAAGACGTCTCATATCCTTGTTTGTAATGCGATCGCTCATAACTAGTCTGAAAAGAGTTTGACCAGACTTTGTGCTCTGAAAAATATGGTGACCTGAAATCTATTTTATCTTGAACAGTTCCACCTGTTACGAACTTCTATAGAAGTCTTTGTGTTAGTGGAAGTGAAGGTTCAACTGCCTGGCTGCTACAGCTTTGTGAGGAATCCAATTAAAATGACTGGAGATATCTGTAGGGATGTTTTTGATGGCGAGTCTGCTGTCTGGGTTTTTTAACAGCCAACTGCAAAGCAGTGTGGGTTCACAAAACTCAAGGGTCTTGTCTGGCTTTTATTTATACACTTCAATGTGAAAGTATATATAGGTTTGATTAAACCTATGCCATAACTTTACATTTAATAAACATGACCTGTTAATAAGAAAAGTAAAAGAACTGGGCTGAGAAACACTGACTTCCTGTAAATAATGATGTGTACAGAATCAAATTAAGTACTTAAAGGCCTGACAACCGCATTGAGCTGCAGTATGTGTATGTGACCTATATGAGAGAAGGAAGAGAGATGAACACAGACAGAGAGTCAAGGAGAGATGACAATGTCAAATCTCTCTCTCAGGGAAGCAAAGATAAAGCGCAGTTAGTTATCCATTGTTGAGTCACCAGCACTGCAGACACAATCAAAGTGTGGCCATTTTAAAAGTGCCAATAATTTAGTGCTGCTTTTAGTTGAGACAAATTATATGTCATTCATATCTATATATGAACCTGTTTTGTAGGAAGTTGAAGTTAAATCCAGGTATTTTTATCTGGGCATAACTGATTAAAACAGCCTTAATCTGAATTATTGTTTGTAATGTAAATGCAGTATAGTTGTAATCTGAATCTAAATGCTTCTGTTTTATTCTGAATTGCACATGGACTGCAAATGACTTATTGAACGTTCAGTGTTATCTATTTTCCCCTACCAGATATGTCAGGTTCTGAGTCCCACCATTATGCAGTGCATGGCCCCAGAGCTTCCCTACAGTCTAAGCAGGCAGAAGGAAGTGCCAGAGAGACCTGATGAGTTTGGCTTCATCCTGGACAACGTTCAGTCTGTGCTGGCCTTCAACAACACCAACTTTATCTACTACCCAAATCCAGTGTTTGAACCGCTCAGTGTGTCTGGGGTCCAGGAACTCAAGCCAGGGTCCCCCATCATTCTCAAAGTAAATCAAACATTTACCTAAATCTCAGCATTGTTGGTCTTTTGATTGTCTATTGCAGCTGCTACATTTTGTGAATGTGAATTGCAGGGTAGAAACTTCCTCCCTCCAGCCCCGGGTGGCAACGGGAAGCTGAACTACACTGTTCTGATTGGAGACAAACCTTGCACCTTAACTGTATCAGATACTCAACTGCTATGTGAATCGCCCAATCTGACTGGACGCCACAAGGTTCTGGTAAGTTGCTGAATACTGGGGCTCATATCCACTTTTCACCATGAACTAATGCTTTGGGGACTTTGCGGTTATTGAACTTTCTGAGAGACTGACAGAGAAATAGAAAATACATCCCCAATAAGACTTATTAGAGCTGAAAACCCTAACAAAACCTTTTTTTCTCAATGGGTACTCTGGGTGGCTGCTTGTTTCACTGCCTGCTTGTTGACAGTCGTAAAAGAGAAAGAGCCATATTCATATCGGGTATCGGCTCCGATACTGCCATTTTTTGTCGGATTGGGTATCGGTCAGAGAGGGCCGATCCAAATCCGAGATTGTGCGTATTATTCTGTGTTACTTCTGAAGCCATACGATAGCTTAAAGGGTTAGTTCACCCAAAAATGAAAATTAGCCCATAAATTACTCACCCTCAAGTCATCCTAGGTGTATATGACTTTCTTCTTTCAGATGAATCCAGTCGGAGTTATATTAAAAATTTTCTTTGATCTTTCAAGCTGTTTCATGGCACTCAGCGGGTGTTGCATGCATCAGTCCAAAAGCACTTAATTAAAAATGCGCCCATCCATTAAAAAAAAGTGTCTCACAGACATGTGCAGCACTGACCTCATACGTCATCCGCCTGGAACTGCTTCCAGTGTACAATATCCACTGAATGCAAGCAGCGTACGCTTTTCTGTGTCAGCCGTGCTGCACGGATGCACTGTTTTTGTTCAAATCAAAGCGTAAATACATGTAGAAACCGTATACCTTTAATGTGAGCTACATATGAATATTTCAGTCCCTACATTAAAGTTCACACAAACTCTTTTCTCCGCTGTGGCTGTCAGTCATTCGTTCAGCCTTTAAACCCTGGTCGCATTCGGTTACAACAGTCAGCTCGGTAAAGCTCTCTCCAAGATCATTCTGTGTTCCCATTATTATACTTGATTTGTAAATAAATGTCTATGATTTTGCAAAAAGGACTTTATCTTCTTGCTGGAGTTTAATGTTGTTTTGTTACTTGCTACCGGGTGTCTGTGAGAACAAAACACGGGCGTAGAAAAGACTATAAATTGTTTTTAAAGCGCACATAACTGAAATTTTAAACTGTTAAAAGAAAGGCCCAATAACTGTTGCACAGATATAATACACTACGCATCAATTTCTCTTCCCTTTGTGCTTTGCACTTTTTAATGCAAAGCGCTGCGTGCTGTGGCTCCGTGTTGCTTCAAGCACATCATTGATTAGCGCATATAAATTCTACATTTATTTAAATGAAAAAAAAAACTTCACTGGTATCGGATCGGTATCGTTATCGGTCAATACTGAACCCTAGGTATCGGAATCGGTATCGGAGGTGAAAAAGGCGGATCGGAGCATCCCTAAAAAGGAATAGACACATTGTTCCCCTCTGCTGTTGAGGCATTGGCCTTACTATGACACAATGACATCAAATAAAATATCATTTTTAGATGTAAATCTTTAGATGTATTTTGATCTTCTTCGAATGGTTGCTAGGTTACTGACTACCAGACTTAGCTACCAGACTTTACCTACTACAAAGTATTGGTTTCATTCAAATCTTCACAAAATGTGCTCCATTTTAGGCCCGTGTTGGTGGCATTGAGTTTTCGCCAGGTGTGGTCCACATCACCTCTGACAGCCCCCTCAGCAGCACCGCCGTTATTAGCATTGCTGGGGCAGGAGGCCTCCTCATCTTCTTCATCGTCATTGTCCTCATTGCCTACAAGCGCAAATCCCGTGAGAGTGACCTCACTCTCAAGCGCCTGCAGATGCAGATGGACAACCTGGAGTCCAGAGTAGCCTTGGAGTGTAAAGAGGGTAAGTAGTCGGGAAGTGGTTTAAAAAAGTGATGTCACTCCAGATTATTAGTCAGAATTTGCTCAAATTTTTACAATCCAGTAAACAAAAATCAGAATACTTCATAAACTGCCTCTGCAACATTTATAAGACATACACATAGTATGTAGTTTAGTGATCTCAGCCTATTTGTTCTTCATGTTTTCAATCTTCCACAGCATTTGCAGAGCTGCAGACAGACATTCATGAGTTGACCAGCGACCTGGACGGAGCTGGTATTCCATTCTTGGACTACCGCACATACACCATGCGAGTTTTGTTCCCTGGCATCGAAGAGCACCCTGTCCTTAGAGACCTGGAGGTAACCTAACAATTTTATTGATGCAAAACTGTTTTGTGAAATAACACATTTGCATCCAAAGGGCCCTTTACTGAGTTTCTGAGATGTACCTGAATATATTTGCATATTCATATATGCATGTAATTACTGCACATTGTACCTGTGTGAGGAACAGTCACAATAATGGCTGCTAAGTATATATTTTTTTCTTTCTGTTTTTCGATTCTGAAGGAATAACAGCACAGTGGGGTTGTTGGGAATTAAAGCTGTCACTATGCTGTTTGTGTTTACCCTCAGTAAACAAAAGGCAGCAGCTCTCATTATAATCTACATGCATGCTCTTTCTCTCTCTCTCTCTCTCTCTCTCTCTCTGGCTCATTTTTTTCTTAAAGTAATGAGCTGCTCTCTGATTCACAATCAGTCTTTCATTAATAACAGTAATGACATGCAACTCGACTGTTTTTTTTTTCAGAGTGTGGAGAACAGAATTAAAATCTAACGCAGGGTACACCAAGCTACGGGTTATTTACGCCCTGCTATGACAGTGATGGACAGTTTTAATTGTATCACACACATTTTTTCAGCCAACGTACGAGCCATACCTTACCTGCTTATGCCAGCTGAGCTCTGGTTCTAATCAGCTATATCAATTAAGACTTAATTGGAATAAACGTCCCCTCTCTCTGGAAAAGTTTATTGTAAAATCACAGCTAATGACAGGAGCCGTCTCGAGATTCTGACAGGTGTTTAATGATTATTGATGAGGCAAATGACATCAAATGATGTCATGAGGTCTCTGCATGGTTAAGTGTTTGTCATCGGGTATTCTAAGAGCACAATGAATGCATCTTAACCCAGTGAGCAGCTTTTATTACATGTAAACTGTTCATTTGTATCCTGGTTTGTTTGGCTTTAGGTTTGTTTTTTATTTGTTTAATGTGTTTGGTTCTCTTCTGTTTAAATGCCTGTGGGTGTTTCATTGGACACTAGCAGAGGATGCCGTAGGCCATATGAGAGGATTGAAAAAGCTTTTCAGTCAATTAAGCCAAGCTGAAGTTTAAGTGAGCATTCTTAAACATGACAAAAATAACATTTGACAGTTGTCTTGAGTTGCTTAGTTATGAAGTGAAGGCTACTTAAAGTCGACATGAAATATGTCATTATTGGATGCATTTCTGATTGAAACGGGACATTCGATGAGAGAAAAAAAATGTAGAGTAGGACTTGATTTTAATTTATCAAACAATAATAATAAATGTAACAATTGAAATGAAATGACTTGCACTAATAAATTGTGCAAAATAAGAATGTGTTGTTTTAAAACAAATGGTGTCAATTTTGATTATTTATTTAATAAATATGCTGATGAATTATCACATTCAGGTTGTGAAATGTCATCTGTTTGTAACCACTGTTTTACTGTTTTGTGTTTTTATTTATTTATTTTTTTCTGCAGGTGCCAGGTTACAGACAGGAACAGGTGGAGAAGGGCCTAAAACTGTTTGGACAGCTTATCAACAACAAGGTTTTCCTGCTGTCCTTCATCCGAACTCTTGAGTCTCAGAGAGGCTTCTCCATGCGAGACCGCGGCAACGTCGCCTCCTTGATCATGACCGTTTTGCAAAGTAAACTAGAGTATGCAACGGACGTGCTCAAACACCTGCTGTCTGACCTCATTGACAAGAACCTGGAAAGCAAGAACCATCCCAAACTCTTACTCAGAAGGTACTAGACACATTGCACATGAAGAGTCATCTAAAAAATCTAGTCCTGCAGTCCATTGGGTTTTACTGATTATAAATGCCCCTCAAGTGTTCTCAATGTTCTAAATTTTGGGATCATTTCAACCTGCCTGATTCTAATTATAGTCAACTTCATAGACAAGAGCAGATGACCTCTGTGAATTGTCTTTCATACGTGGACTCTACAGTACACTGAATGGGAATAATTGCATTTGGGGACATCAAAATGCACACTTTCTCCCCCAAACATGTAATCCACTGACATGCTCATCATTAAATGGTAATTAGGATTAATTAGTTTGAGATCCAATTAACAGTGCACTAAAAAACTACTGAATATAGGGAGATATGTGAACCTCAATTCCCCGTGCAATCAACTCCTTTGTATCTCTGTATTCTAACAGCATAGAGGACAATATTATTACTATACCATATTGATTTTTCTCCACTCTCCGCTCATTTGAAAACTTCTAATGTTTCTTTAATTTTTCTTAATGTTCTAGCAATTGGTTTGTAAAGTTTGTTGACTGACACTTCTGATATTTTTGCTAATTGAAACTACTGTTCTGAAAAAATAGTGCTTTCAGAGCAAAATAATGACATGGATTACAAAATTAAAATTATGTATTGGTCAAAACAAGCTTGCTAATAGCGATAGGCTGATCATGTAACTACAAGAGGAGCTCCCTGACTGAATCATAACTGATTCAACACCCTTGATGGCAGGCATGATTAATTGAAACAAGTGAAGGGAAGATTAATTGCATAAAGACCTGCTGTACATTTTAACGGTGGAAAATAAAAGAGATTTTTCTTTGTTTCAGTCAGGCTTCTGTCAAAAACAAAACCAACCATGTCACCTTTTTGTATGCACCTGAAACATCTGCACTTTGAGATGGATGTCTGCTACAATGTCCCATCATGACCTGTAGTCCAGTGGCTCTCAATAGGTTTTGCTTCAGGTTCCAGATTCAACATAATACAAAAATTCTTTATTTTATACAAATTATCATTAAAATGAAACACTGACATTTATTAAAATCACCATGGACTGCTTAGACCCAACAATATGCAAAAATAGTATTTGTTTATGTTGGGTTATTTGTATTTGTTAATTTTTGGATTGTGATCCTCCAGATGAGAAGCACTGTTTTAGTCCATATCTTTCAATGGATTAGACCCTTATGGGTATATAGAGCGATCTTCACCACATGGAACCTGTCTGACCTCCAGCACCTGCTTAGCAAAGCACGATACAGAGCACTGGGCCAGAACAGAGAAGCTTAATCTGTTGTCTTAGAATAATTTTCTCATCCTTGTCTCTCTTTCACTGCATGATTTCTAAATCTGTGTTTAAAATGCAGAGAAGCAGGACATCTTTGGCAGAAGCCTCCAACCAGCTTTCATTTCCCCATTTCCAAGAAAGCGCTTGCGACGGCCGCCCCATCTGTCCAGCCTCAACCTGAGTTCACAAGCACACACAGGCTAACTAACTAACGGGCAGCTTCTAGAACCATCTGTCGTATTTCTCCTTCTCCCTCGCTCCCTGCAGCCCACTCTCCTCGTCTACAAATAAAAATAACCTCTCAGATCATGTAGCCTGTTTTCTCTATATGTATGGCATCAGTGAAGTCTCCTGTTCCTGCATATGCTCGTACACATATTATTATTCAGACATTTACTGCCCAACACGTTCGTACACACTTTCATACATACACACACACACACACACACAGTCAGGCAGAGCTGAATAGAAGTCCTGTGATTATTCTCTGGGGATAATCCTTAGTGAAGGGGGACCATGGTTACGCAGCAGGACCCAACAGTGTGCTGAGCGGACAATCTTCTCCACGTGAGGCGGAGTGCGAAATTGAAATTATTCCTGGCTTCAAGCTGCGTTCTTTAACACATGTGCATTAAAGAGGGGGCATACCGGGAGTTTGTTTCAGCAGACGATTGTTTGGTTAAGAAAATAAAGCCTATGATGCTGCAAGGTAAATAGCGTCAGCCCATTGCCAGCTTTTAGCTGAAGCATAGTTTCAATTTCATAGCAGGCTGAGACTAACTCTCAGTAAAACCTTTACTCAGTCAACGCCACCGCTTAGCAACACCGTTAAATCTATGAACTTGTTTACGAGATGCATTTTTCTGCATACAACACACATTTGCAGTGCAGTATATGTCATAGAGTGACAGTTCTCATTTTTGCAGGGTCTCTGGAATCATAAACCACTCTCAGGTCCTCAATGTTGGCAGAGCTGGCTGTTCACATCCATTTGCAGTGGCAGAAAGCAGCATCAAATGTAAATGGCCTTTGCTGGATGCAAGAGATGATGAGGAAGATATATGGAGCTCTTTCCTCTCACTCTTCCTCTTGTTTATGAAGCGTAGCTCCAAAGTGCCTCTTTGCACATTCGGCGTGGAGGAATCCTCCAGCAGATTTTACTTCGTTCCACTTTGAAATGGCTGTTTAATCAGGGGGAACTAAGCACCAGGTGCTGCCTATATCCCATTCCTCACCGCTGGATGCGCACACTTTTCCTGCCTCCCTAAACCAAAGCCAAACAAGCACTTGCTCTCTGTGCCAGTGATATGTGACGTAAGGATTTGAGGGACAGTGATAGTTGGTTGCTCTTGGCGCTGTGGCAAAGTTATGGAGAGGTTGTGCCAGGATTGTCTGGCAATGAGGCTACTTATTCCCCCTCCGGTGAGCCGAGAGGTAACACATGATATGGGTAAGTGAGTTTATGGGGTCTTGCCAACAATAATTACCATCAAACCAGCCGTAAGCGCAAGAAAGAGAAAGCTAATGGGAATAACAGTACACCAAGGCGAAAAGGGGGCGAAAAGCTGTTTTCTTCCTTTATCTGTTTTTTTGTACTGTGGTCCATCTCCAGGTTTTTCCCCCACCTACAGTTTCTCTTGTAATTGGTCCAGGCATTGACAACAGTCGGAGTGAGGATGATTACAGGGCAGTGTTAGGATGGAGATGAAAGGAAAATGAAACACTAATCCTTTCCCAGTGTTGCTCCAGCTTAGCGGGCACACGCAGGCACACATACATGCACATGTACACACGGTACTGCACAGCGGCAAGTCTCAATATGGCAGCGGGGCAGAGGGAATGCAGGTGGCAGCTGGGATACAGTGAGGCAGAGGAGGCGTAGATACACACACATCACAATGCTGTAATCCTGAAATATTGATGCTCTGTGCCCTGGCTCATTGCAGGGCGCCTTGGCAATTCCCCAGCTCCCTGCGGCACACACAGGCTGGAGACACCGGATCTATGTATATTGAGTTTCACTTTGTTATAGTTATTATGTATGTACATCTCTCATGCCAGATCAGAGCCTGTGGTCCAAGCGAAGGTGTTAGCCAATCATGATGTACTCCGACACACCCCGGCCCTCCATTCAGCCACCTTCTGTTGTAAGGGGATCCATTTCAAGCTCAATGGTCGGACTGTGGGGGGGGAGGAAATGAGTCCGGTTTAATTCCAGGCCAGAGTAGGTTCACTTGGCATCAATCCAGCCGGATCATATTAAGGCTTTTAATTGTATTTCTTGTATTAGGGTCTCGTGGATTATTGTGGTAATAAAGACAGCCTGCAGATTGGGGCTATAGATTCCAGAGCGCAATTCATGTTCCAGCAATTGCATTTGTTTAACAAAGTCCTATTCATTAGGAGACACCGTCCATTGTGAAGTGAATTTTTCATGGTCATGGTAATCGCATTTGTGCATGACACTAACAGTGATAATCGTGGCTTTGTGTTGTTTTTATTTATTTATTTATTTACTCTGTTTATTTGTTTGTTTTCCAGAACGGAGTCTGTGGCTGAGAAAATGCTCACAAATTGGTTCACTTTTCTGCTATACAAATTCCTCAAGGTAAGTCCGTGTTCTGAGTGTGGATAAGTTGTGTGTGCGTTAACACATATTCCGGTCTGGGAGGCCAAAATGTAAAAGAGATCAGTCACCTTCAAGGTCATTTGGCACATGCACTGTTGAGCACAGAGGAGTCAAATGAAGTCCTGCGGGAGCATTGGCAGTGATGCACTGCAGGTGTTTGACAGAGAGAGAGTGTGTGTGTCTTGTGTATGAATATGTGTAGGTGTGTATGTACATCTGTATGTGAATGTGCCTGCATGCACTTTTAAAAGGGTCATATGATGTTGCTAAAAAGAACATTATTTTGTGTATTTGGGTTGAAAGTTGGCCAAGTCTTGCTGACTGTAGCAGTTTTTCTGTTCCTATAATGAGACAGTCGGCTTAGCAGGTGCTGCTCAAGTCTACATATAGCGCTGTGACCTTCAGCACCACCGCAGTCCTCTCTAGCACTTGTCATTAATCTCTTAATAAACACATCTGCTGCAATCAGAACATGATGTGCAATTTCGCAAGTGTACAGAAATTTCCTGAATTCTGAAATGTACAAAGCAGGCAATAAACTCTGGAAGTCAAGGGTGTTTAGTCTAGTCTGGTTTAACGGATTAGACCTGAGTGAATGAAGCCGAAACATCACTCGAGAGCTTCAGGATTAATTTAAGCTCAAATTGGACTCTACTGTAAGAGAAGGACTTTATTGTGACCTCATCCATGCGAAACCATAACATTATTATTGTAGTCACAGCACATTGATTTGAGTATTATTGAACAGTGCTTGACCAGCTTCCCAGACCACTAGTTGGTTTTACTGTCCATTTCTCATTTCAACAAGCATATTTTGCCCAAATTCAGCTAGAGACACTGCACTTCAGCTTCATTTCTAGCTCAGCGATCTTTAACGGGGTCTACCAATTGTTGTTTGATCTTTATGTATAGAGATTATTTTAATGGCTTTGTGATGTAAATGTAATCATACAAAGTATGTAAATACATTATTATGATACATAATTTTAAGCCAGGCTAAAAATGCAACACTTTATGCAATATTTAACAGTGGGTCCTTGCTCTGTCTCTATCTGTCCACCAGGGATCGAGCTTAACTATTACTGGAATCCATATAAGTGAAATTGTTGAATCAGTTGAAATTGACACACTAGCACCACAACTGTAAAGCTCCTTTCAAAATGTCTATTACTGTTACTGAATGAGGGAATGACAGCCCACGTTCTCTGTAGGTGGTTGGTGTGAAATTTAAGAGAGTGAAAGTGACAGTGTCTTTTTTTTCCTTGTCTAGGAGTGTGCCGGGGAGCCCCTCTTCTCTCTATTTTGTGCCATAAAGCAACAAATGGAAAAAGGCCCCATCGACTCTATCACCGGAGAAGCCCGCTACTCACTCAGTGAAGACAAGCTCATCAGACAGCAAATTGATTACAAGACTCTGGTAAGGCTCTGAACCACAGTGTGGATGAAGAAAGGAAAGAGGAACCGTTTTGGAAGGATAGAAAATGAGAGGAGTAAACTAAAATAGGAATGAAGAAAAAGACGAGGATAAATGGGTGAGAAAGAGGCTAAGGAGCGTGAAAGCATTCAGAAGAAGACAGGTGTGGAGGTAGAGAGAAGGGTAAGGTAATTTGTTTGGGTTGACGCAGCATGCAATGCCCACAGTCTTCACGCCTGACAGGGAACACACAGGTTTGTTATGACCTTTGACCTGTCTGCTGTCCTGTGGTGATTGGCAGTGTTGTGTTTGGCTGGTCACTGTGACAGGCATGAGCTAAGACTGTGTTGTCAGGGCCGCATGTATGCCAGCACTGGCTGTTTACTGGTACAGCACGTCAGGAGGGTAATCTGTATTCTGTGTGAGACTAAGAGAAGAAAAAGTAAGAGGAGGAATGTGGCGACTAGTGTCATCTCTTGGCATCCGACCCATTCCTTTGAACGCCGCACTGATTTAATGACTGTAGGAGCCGTTTCAGCTTCATCATTCTGTCCTCACTTCCAAAACACTTAAATGGCTTCAGACTCGCCACAATACAAGCCACTACCAATAGCACATTCTGCCTTCCCTGGCAAGATATGGAGGGCATTTCCCGGTTACATTATCAATCATTTTTTACGCAATAATGCATGAGAGGTTGTTTGATATTGACCAATCAGCATACTGCTGGACTGTAAGTAAATGAGCTCTTTTGCAGTGTGTGGGTATTTTATTATAACAGATGCCAACAAGGGTCTTCGCAGCCTTTATATACCAACTTGAGCTATGTAATTACATCTGATGATGATGACGACGGTACTGGTGGTGGCATTAATGACAGTTATCATGGGAGACAGAGAATCTAACAGGTACAAAGATTATTAGTGTGTTAATTGCATACTTTTGCAGGCTGAGGTGAGTGAAGTGACGGCTCCCTCAGGGTGGCCAATGGGCTTTTACGTTTGCACCGTTACACCTGCTGACTACGTTCACTCATTCAGTAGCACACCTTAAAGGTTTGACTGGATGACTGTCATCCATCAGAGTACAATCTTTTAGGTGTTAAGCATAGATCCTAGAACAGCCACTCTGAGATATGTTGTGAACACAGGCCTCAGTAGATATACTGTACATGTTACAAGCTCTCTGTATGGCTTGATTAAACCTTTTAACATAAAATTTGTTCTATTGGTTATTTGGCTCACATACACAGAGATTTTAGCATTCTTTAAACTCTCAATAAATTTTTAATCATACAGAAAGATCATTTTACAGCCACATAAATATTCATGTGTCTCCCACACGTGTGCTAATTGGTGTAATTTTGTTCTGTCATGTAGGTGGTGAACTGCTTGCATCCAGACAATGAGAAGAGCCCAGAGGTGCAGGTGAAGGTGCTGAACTGTGACTCCATCAGCCAGGTGAAGGAGAAGATCTTGGATGCCATCTACAAGAACGTCCCCTACTCGCACCGACCAAAAGCCTCTGACATGGACCTAGGTATGACTAGCATTATGCTAACATTAGCTGCCTTTTCCCTTTAAGAACTGTTTTCCTCATCAGCCCTTCATTTGCCCTGGTCAAGAGATTCAATGTGTGAATCAGTGACATTGACATTTGTAGAATGATGGGTCAAATTAAGGTGATTGGTACTTATTATATCAATATTGGCCTTACTTAAAATCTATTATTTGTAATTTAACAAACAGGGTGCTAGGGCATAATCGTGATAGAGGTTCCAATAAGTCCATAAATTGCCCCTTTTTGGATTCGAACCACTGACCTTCGGATTATTAGCCCAATTCTTTAAAAAAAACTCCACTAGCAAAAATAGTTGGCATACACTTTTTATCCAAAGAGACATGAGATAAAGCAGGGTCAATGCACCTAAAGCTAAGTGACTTACACAATCACATAATGCCCATTGAGGATCCATGTCTCTTCTGGAATTTGAACTCCATACCTTTGGAACTACAGTTATGTTGTACATACGCCTTCCAACTCCAAACTGCACATTTTGTTACTTGCCAGATACCACCTTATCCAAAGCCACTTGCAATACATTGTCAAAGACAGTCCACCTTAAAAACCCTAAAACTAAGTGTCTTATTCGTCTTCTCTGGGTTTAGTTTTGCTCAGAGGTAATAGAACATGCCAGTAACTATTGATTACATGAACAGGCTTTTCTGGTGTTTGAGCCAGTAACTTTTGGATTGTAAGCCAGGTTTTACATTCTCCAACCGACAACAGTAAGCTTTCTTGCTTAAAAAATTCCAAAATGGAAAATTCTGTTATTAAAAGATGTTTTGAAAAATAAAAAAATTTTCGTACCACCAACCCCTTTGTGTTTGTTAGAAAAATATCATGCAGGTTTGGAATGACATGAGGGTTAATAAGTGATGACAGAATTACATTTTTTTAGTCAAACTATCCCTTAAAGAGCGTGAAGTTCATTGAAGATGCCAATAACTTTAAATTTCATCAGTCCTGGTTTCTGGAGTTTGAACAGGCAACCAACTCATTACAACCCCAGCACTGTAAACACTAAGCTATTCGTGCCTCCATGCATGTGTTAAACATACATGCTGATAAACAAATATCAGCTGTGACAGTATGTGAGTTTATTTATACACACCTAATTGACAGGTGGGAACATCTCACAGTTACTGGGAAAAAAATAGCCAGGCTTATCTGTGCAGATCTATTTTTCCACAAATGAGAATCTGATTGTTTATTCTGCACACTAGCCTGGACTGCACTGATCTGTTTTATTTTGTTTTATTTTTTGGCAAAAATAACATATTTCTCAAGTCATAGCCTAACACTTAGTCTATCCATAAGGGATTGGAACCATGAAAAGTGAAGAAATAATTTTACCCTCTTTGACAGACTCTCCTGTGTAAAATGCTTTTATGGGCCCCGGAGGGCAAGCATGTTGTTTTATTATTGTTTTATTAGGGGGGAGAATTGGATGATGTCTGTGGGAGTGTGTGCGAGTGTGTTGTATGATAACGCAATGGGCATCCCCGGATGAGAGAAGGCATCTCGGTATTCCGTAAACGGATCTCAGGGTCTCCTGAGCCCCGGCACACTCTCTGGCCCTGATATGGGGGCCAGATAAAGATAATGGGTAATAGGAATGAGGTAGCCTCCATCTCCTCGATCCCTCTGAGACTGATTGGACCGGAGTGTTTCTGTCCCTTGCCTCTGTTTTTAATTCTCTCTGTCACAGTCCCCTGAGGGCAGGGATGGAGGAACGGAAGATAGAGGGAAAGAATGAGAGAGTGATGCAGATAAATCAATGCACTTCAGCCCATCTCAGTCTCTATTTTAACTCTCTTTGGCTTTATTCTCTATCCAGCTACATCCTGCTGCTGCTGTTTTCAGCAGAGATTGCTTCTGTCTTATTTATTTTCAATTCTTTTCTGTCCTTTTCATTTCACTTTTAGTCTTTTATTAAGTTCAATTTCTTTTTTGTTGTTTTTAGTCATTTTTTCTTTTTTGTGTTTTTAGGTTTTGTCATACTGTTTCATTTAGACTTTTTTCTTTTCATGTTTTGCTCTTCTAGTTTTCTTTTCTTTCAGTTTATTTTTTCTTTTAGTTTCTATTCTTCTCTCTGTTTACTTTTCTGTTTGCACTTGGAGTCAAGGCTCATTTGCATGTTTATAGACAGTACTGTAGTGAGATATAAAACAATGGTCGGGCCTCTCCTGGAGATTTGAAGGTATTCTCATCACCCAGAGACATGTTTCATCATCTTGCCTGTGATTGCTGTTTTGCTTTTCTGGTTGGGATCAGAGCGAAAGGTAGCAGCAGGTGGCTTGAAGAGGCCTCACTCCTCTAGCTTTCCAATCATACATTCATTTGCAACAGAGGGGAGCCCAAAAAAAAAGAATGAGAGAGACGTCTCTCTTGTTCCTGGCCATGTTATCCATACATCACATTGCAAAGGGATATGTTTATTTCATTCAGCGCTGATTCCCATCTCATTGCCGTTTCATGTTGCTGTTTTTGCTGAGGCTGCAGACAACGGCTGGTGGGCTCTGAGGGGAGGGTGGGAGAATATCTTCGCATTTTGTTGTGCATCACTAGTGAGCTCAGTAACTACAATAAGAGCAAGCTCAGCAGGAGGCTTAACGTGGTCGATCAGGGCCGTTTGGGCTCAGGATGCTCGACCCACTGCAGATGAAAAAGGAAGTGGCTTTCAGCAGTGGCTGTAATCACGCCCATCGATCCACTGGTCACGAAGGCCCGGATCTCTAACAAAGGGCAGAAGAGATTAATTTACCTTTCCTTTCCTTCCTCTCTTTCTCAAATGCTCCTTCACGTACCCTTATTTTCTCTCTCGTTTTGATTTCTTTCTCCTTCTCTCTCTCAGTATAGACTTTGTCCCTTACCTCTTTTCTTCTATTGTTCCTATGTCTTCATTTTTAAGTTTTGAAAAGTCTGATTTTTAGCTCCACTTTTTCTTTCAAGGCTGAAGAAAGAAACATTTTTAAGACTACCTACTATACTATAAATACCAGCAAATTTATCACCACAATAGGTTTTTGTACAAGACTAAGATGTGCAAAAAATTACTTTGTGTTTGCTTGAGTGTGGAAGCTTAAAGTGGCTTAATATATTGAAAATATTTCTATATTTCTTTCAAAAATGAAAGAAAAATAATTGCTGTGGTTTGCTGAAGAAGGGGGGGAAGTCGTGGCCTAATGGTTAGAGAGTCGGACTCGTAACCCAAAAAGTTGCGGGTTCGAGTCTCGTACCGGCAGAGATTGTAGGTGGGGGGAGTGAATGTACAGCGCTCTCTCCCACCTTCGCAGGTGGCTTGAAGAGGCCTCACTCCTCTAGCTTTCCAATCATACATTCATTTGCAACAGAGGGGAGCCCAAAAAAAAAGAATGAGAGAGACGTCTCTCTTGTTCCTGGCCATGTTATCCATACATCACATTGCAAAGGGATATGTTTATTTCATTCAGCGCTGATTCCCATCTCATTGCCGTTTCATGTTGCTGTTTTTGCTGAGGCTGCAGACAACGGCTGGTGGGCTCTGAGGGGAGGGTGGGAGAATATCTTCGCATTTTGTTGTGCATCACTAGTGAGCTCAGTAACTACAATAAGAGCAAGCTCAGCAGGAGGCTTAACGTGGTCGATCAGGGCCGTTTGGGCTCAGGATGCTCGACCCACTGCAGATGAAAAAGGAAGTGGCTTTCAGCAGTGGCTGTAATCACGCCCATCGATCCACTGGTCACGAAGGCCCGGCTCTCTAACAAAGGGCAGAAGAGATTAATTTACCTTTCCTTTCCTTCCTCTCTTTCTCAAATGCTCCTTCACGTACCCTTATTTTCTCTCTCGTTTTGATTTCTTTCTCCTTCTCTCTCTCAGTATAGACTTTGTCCCTTACCTCTTTTCTTCTATTGTTCCTATGTCTTCATTTTTAAGTTTTGAAAAGTCTGATTTTTAGCTCCACTTTTTCTTTCAAGGCTGAAGAAAGAGAAACATTTTTAAGACTACTATATACTATAAATACCAGCAAATTTATCACCACAATAGGTTTTTGTACAAGACTAAGATGTGCAAAAAATTACTTTGTGTTTGCTTGAGTGTGGAAGCTTAAAGTGGCTTAATATATTGAAAATATTTCTATATTTCTTTCAAAAATGAAAGAAAAATAATTGCTGTGGTTTGCTGAAGAAGGGGGGAAGTCGTGGCCTAATGGTTAGAGAGTCGGACTCGTAACCCAAAAAGTTGCGGGTTCGAGTCTCGTACCGGCAGAGATTGTATAGGTGGGGGGAGTGAATGTACAGCACTCTCTCCCACCTTCAATGCCACGACTGAGGTGCCCTTGAGCAAGGCACCGAACCCCCAACTGCTCCCCGGGCGCCGCAGCATAAATGGCTGCCCACTGCTCCGGGTGTGTGTTCACGGTGTGTGTGTGTTCACTGCTGTGTGTGCACACTTTGGATGGGTAAATGCAGAGCACTAATTCCAAGTATGGGTCACCATACTTGGCCACATGTCACGTCACTTCACTTCACTTTACTTCAAGTTGATGTAGTTTTTGTGTTGAAATACTTCCTATCCCAAATTAATATTCAGAGACAGCTATACAAGTTATTACACTCTGTAAACAGTTCATATCTTTAATTAGAGATTAAAAGAAATGTAGTGATTTAATGCGAGATTCCTTGTTCATTGGGGCCAGATGACATATCATTAAAACTTGTGTATTCTGTAAAGCTGCTTTGAAACAACCAATATTGTAAAAAGTGATTCACAAATAAATGTGAATGGAATTCCTGCACTCTGAGTATTAAACATTGGATGCAATTACTTTGTGTTCTCGTTGCAGAATGGCGTCAAGGCAGAGTAGTACGAGTCATCCTTCAGGATGAAGATGTTACGACAAAGATTGAGGGTGACTGGAAAAGACTCAACATGCTGACTCACTACCAGGTAAGATCCTGTGTATATCACGTTTCCAGGTAAACTCAATCTTGTTATAAGGTGTTCAGTTTTAGTTTTTTTTATAAAGTCATGACATGACATGACATGACAAGACATGAATGCTTCAGAAGGGGTGCATTCTTTCTTCTTTCTATCATCCCTACCATCTACTTCAAGGCTTCTTGTGAGAAAATTGATAAAGAGGTTGTTTGTTTGCTGTTTCAGACTGAAATCTTTTTCAGTTAGTGTACAGAAAGATATCTGCCGTCACAAAGATGGCTTTGAGCCTTTGAAATCTATCTTAAATCAGAAGAAGGATGAGCATTGTACCTGCTGGTTTCTATTTAAAGCAGCATCTCCAGATGTCCCAGTACATTTAATCTGACAGCAGTGGGATGCAGGTGTAGGTGGATCTGTAGCTTGACACCCGGGTTAGATGATCTAGCTAATGACTTTTGATAAACGGCTCTCTGTGTGATGTGAGTTTTGGCGTGGGCTTTCAATGATAGCGCAGATTCTGACAGAGTAACTAATACTGGAACAAAGAGATTTGAATGCAGAATGAATGTCTTTTGTGAAGCTCAGAAGTGTAATGCTCTATTTATGTTCGTCTCAAATGTAACAAGGAACCTTTATGAGGTGATTAGCACAAAAAAGGATGAGCAGAGAAAAGATACTCTATAATGGTAATTGCTTTTGGTTTGTGTGTCCAAGATTATCTAGTTTAGGGAAACATAAACACTGTTAACATTCTTTGCATCTCAGCCCTATCGAACTCTTACGCCCTCGTTGACCTCTATAATAGGGTGCAGTCAAGGCACTTCCAGGTCACTTAGAAACCTTACTCTGACTGACGGATCTCCAACATGGTAGACACGGACCATCGAGTTTCAGGGGACAGGTATGGCAATGCTGACTTAGCAGGGGACTAATAAAGTCTGTCTGTCTGCAATTAAATAGACACTCTAAGTGTGAGAACCCCAGACATATCTGTCTGGCTGGGAGGGGCAGTTTAGGGTGGAGAGGAGACAGGCGGCGCTTCATTACAGTGTAAATAATTTCCTCCATAAGCCGCCCTCCAAATGAGCTTTTAGAGAGAGAGGAGTCTGCACAGTACTTAAATTAAATGTCACGGGGCGGCATATGGGTGCAGGGCTGCAAGTGGCAGAATGGATTAGCTGTTGATTGGAATCGGAGATCAGATAATGAAGACAGAAGTTAATTCATTTTCAGTCGGGGAGGGCATGCTATCCTTGACAAAAAAAAGCTATCAGACACCCTAAGCCTGTTAGAGTTGCTTAAGAGGGGAAAGAGAGAGACCCTCTGTGCACCCTGCACCATCTTCAGTTTCTTCATTTCTGTCCTTGCGCCACATATGTGTTCATGACTGTCTTCCTTTCATTTCTTCCTCTCTAATAGCACCAAATTCCCTTGTTTAGTCTAACATGAAAAGTCGCAGAATGTCGCACTAAAGTCTGATATGTCTGTCATAAAGGATCCTCTGTGCATGTCTAATGTATATCTCAAGTCATCTTTGATACTTTCCTCCAAATCGAGGTGCTACAAATGCATCTGGCTCTGACGTTAATTCTTTGATGTTATCTTAGGAAGCTTCACATTGGGGTTGTATAAGCCCCATCTCGGATATCTGATGTTTCTGAATGCTATCAGGAACACAGAGACTCTCTTAAAGCGTAAACTTGCCCGCAGAGGAAAGATAAAAGAGAAAATCTCTGCTGTTTTCTAAAAAGCCCCTTTTCAGGGAAATATAGCCCTTGTCTGAAGTCTCCTTTCACACAGTCATTCATCTATACTGAGGTGTAAGAAATATTTGTTTGATTTTGTTGAAGTTTGGACAGCTGTCCTCACGGGCCGTGGCAGTAAACGAGGGTGGCTTCACGTTGAGTTTGTCCAGGGAGAAAAGTGGTTAAGGGTATAAGAATAATGTCCTAATGGTCTGTGAAGCCTATATTCTCCCTCCTGCTGTGGTTTGGGTCCCCATGCAGTTCTGAGCCCAAATCATCTAGTTCTACACCATCACCTCAATTAACCCTGTAAGTACCGCAGGCATCCAATGGCAAATTATGTGGATGGAGGAATGTGTGGTTGGGGAGTAGAGGCCCCCACATGTTAATTGAATTTGACTTGCTAAGGCTTACTGTGGTTAGCAGTTGCTGAGGCATATAGTTAAATAGCCCAGTTCATCCCACCGGAAGAAACTTATTGAAATGGAAGCAGATTATCCCCTCTTGTCCTTCACTCATGCAGTTTTCCATTTACCTGGATGAGAAATAAAAGACCAATAACCCTAACTTAATGTAACCATAACGCTGAAGACATCATACGTGTTTACAACTGTTTTTTAAGTCTGAAATGTAGATATTTTATTTGGTTTTTGTAAGTTGTCCATAATAATCTTTGTTTCTTTGTTTGCAGGTGACTGATAATGCAGTGGTAGCTCTCGTATCAAAGCAGGTCACCGCATACAACTCTGTGAACAACTCCACTGTCTCCAGAACCTCTGCTAGCAAATATGGTTTGTGTTTGTTATTCCTTTTCTAATTCTAAAATGCATCCATATCTCCAAAACAAAACGTACGGCACACTATATAAAACATTAATAATCAGCTGACTAACGTTTCTACAGCAGGGTAGGGTAACATTCCACCTGAGCTGCACTAAGAACAGAAAAGGAGTTAAAAAAAATAGTCTTGTCATCTTACAGGAAGGTAAGAGAAGTTAAATGTGTAGCATCTCAGCCACTCACAAAAGGGAGCAGGAATGAAGCTCAAATGGAATTACGTGGAGAGAGCCGAGATAGTCGGGCAGCATACAAAGGTAAAAGCAGGGAAAATGAGTCTCTTTGCACTTGACTTCCCTCCTGAGACTCTGAATCCATCCCTGTCATTCGCCCGCCATCAGTCCCTCGTACGATTGGGTCTGATAAAGCGCAAGATCAAAGCTCAGGGCCTTCCGAGCACTCCCCCTACACATCAAATAGACCATTAAAATCATCTCATCTCCATATACTTTCCTGCACTCTAAATGAGCCTAAAGAAGAGAGAGAGGGAGTGTGACAGATGGGAAAGACAGAAAGAAAATGCCATATATCACTTCACTCTTTCAGAATTAGCTTCAAACAACATTTAGGTTCTTGTAACAGGTTCAGCAAGAGACACGTTTTGAAACACCTAGAAAGACATTTTGTGAGGCTGCAAAAATGTTATTAATCAGATCTCCACCAAATATAGGCTACGTTCACACAGTCAGTGCTCTATAATGAACAGAAAACTAGTTTGGTTCATACAGCATATATCAACTCACTCTCAGAATTTGGTCAAGTCTTGAATATTTGAACAATTATTATTTGGCACTGCAGACTGAGGCAGTGTGAACGTAGCCACACTGAGATCAGCACCAGTGATGTGAATGCAAATATACACACTCAATCTCATTCCTTTTTTTGTTAGTCATCCTCTCTGTTCTTCTTTTTCTGAAGGTGTCATTGTCTTTCTTTATCAGGTTCCTCCTACTCTTCTCTCTCTTTGTCTATTTCCCCTAGAGAGATTGATTTCTGTTGCATCTGCCACTGTGAACTGTTTTTTTTATCTTACCAAATCAGGCCTTTGCCAATCAATTTTTTTTCACACTGTGTAAACATTCATCGAGCTCTGTGTTTTTTTAAATGTCATGGCTGATCTCTCCCTATTGGCTGAAGCATGAATATTTCATCTGGCCTGACACCTGTTCGATTTTGTGTCCGCCAAAGTGAGCGAACACGCACGTTCGCCAGAGAGAAAGCAAGCAAGAGAGCAAGGGATGAAAAATTAAGCATCCATACGTTCTAAATGATTCATATCCAATCTCGAGTACTGCACAACAAAAGGCAATGTGTTTTGTACAGATAGGAACAGATTTGAACAGCTGCATGGGACATTTGTCAGCAAAGGAAGATTGAGGAGGAACCACCATCTGATGGGTCTTTGTCTTTTCACTCCAACAGAAAACATGATCAAGTACACGGGCAGTCCGGACAGCCTGCGTTCCCGCACACCCATGATCACACCTGACCTGGAGAGCGGCGTCAAGGTGTGGCATCTGGTGAAGAACCATGAGCATGGAGACCAGAAGGAGGGAGACCGTGGCAGCAAGATGGTCTCGGAGATCTACTTGACCAGGCTGTTGGCCACCAAGGTAGGCTTTGCCACCATGTCTTATATTCTCTGAATGTCAGAATTTGTTGAACGCCCCTAAAAAGAGTTGTCAACAGATCTGATCCTTCCCAAAACATGTGAACCTTCTAGAATGAGATCAAATGGTTAGATTGTGGAGTTAGTGGAGTTGAGGCCACAGTGTCAAACAGTTCATGTTTATGCTATTTGCTCCGAACTCCGGTTTGTCTGTTTTCTCCATTAGTATCACGCTGACTGACTTGACGTCACAGCATCAGCAGAGCTGGTAAACAGGCACTTGTTTTGGGTTGAATACAGATCCCTCACTATCAGAAAAGCATAGTGCTTCAAGGACATCAGGAAGTTGAAGAAATGGAATAGAAGGCTTTGTTTGATTAGGCAGGCCTAATCACTATTGCTACTGCTCATTGTTGAAATCCAAAACCCTTAGTATTTTACTTTGGCACTTAACGCATCCTGTACCGTAAACCTCAAAACATAGCGGTTTATTGATGACAGTTGTGCTATTACTTATATAAATGACTGGATGATCCACAAAGGGAAGATTCACAAAGAAGCCCCATAGTTGTAATTTAGTGTTTGGGTAATCTTGGATGTGAAGGCCCCAGTCCATGTTTTCTTAAAGGCTGATGCTGGGAAACTGAAGTACTGGCACAGAAATCTGCTTTTTGCAGAACTGTATGTGTCTGTGATTCTGACGTTCCTGATGTAACCAAGCAGGAGTGCACACACACATGCACAAATGCCCTGGTGATTACCCTACTCCGCTTGCAGACTGTGTCATATTTTTAGATGGATTATTTCTGTGAAATAACCAGTTTATCGCAGGCACCATCTCTCTTGGTGAAAAATGATTGGTGTGACAGCACAGTAATTGACTGTTTGGCTTTCACCCCTGCAATAAATACCAGTGATCTGCCTGGGGTGCTGACGCTTTCCGCATTCGGTCCATCAGTGTCTCTGAGAATGGGTGAGCTTTACCTTTTTCCATCTCCCTCCATAATGCCAGGCTTTATTTAATCTTTCTTCCTCTACCGTTCTGTCTTCTGCACTTTTCCATCCTCTTTCTGTTTGCAATTACACAAATGTTCTTTCCTCACCTGTCCGGAACGAGATCACTTGAAGTTTAATGCTTCTCTCACTGCCTGCCTGTGTCTGATAGCCTGCTTTTAAGTGCGCTAAAATGACCAGGTACATTTCAAACGGTTGCAAATAGCCACTTTGGTTTCTGGGCGACTAATGATGATGTCAGTCGTCACACAGGATGACACCTGACAGAACCATCGCAGTCATCCCTGTTGCCAGCCTCCTGCAGCTGTCGCTGCGTTGATACAGGACGCGAGTGAGAAATATGTATTTTCATCTTCATAGGGAAAAGATAAGCTGTCAGGGATCTGGGACACAGTAGAATTATTGTTGTGATTGTAAGCTAACGGGATTTTTTTCTTCTTCCCCGTCGACTCTTGCCGTCTGCTCAAACGGAAATAGGATTTTGTGTGCTGTGCCTTGTGTACACCTCATCCGGATGCGAAGCCGGTGCTACGCTTTTTGATACTTTCCTCTCTCTCTCTTCCGCGCTTCCTATCAGTTCTTTCATTACAAGTGGATTAGATTCTGTCATCTTCTCTCCTCCTTAGATTCACCACGATTAAATCAAATTAGGGTCAATGGTGCGGGGTGGACGTTAATCCATCCGCACAAAGCAGCTTAGGCAGAATTGCTTCTGTTACGTTTTATTAAAGGTGAACTTCAAAGTAACACTTTCACTATCAAAGAGCTTGATTCAGGAACATTGGTTTCATCGGTGGGATTACTGACATGTGGCCCACAACTACTTTCAGAAACACAGATAGCTGTTCTGAGGAACACAGCCGCTCATGTCATTGCTAAATATCAGGTCCATGCAGGGTCTTCATGGAGACACATATATGGCCTGCCTCTGTAAAGCTGGTAACACCAGTGTGTCATTTAAATAAAGCGTAGGACAGAGTGAATGGGATGGATGGATGAAAATTAACCCAATTCTCCATTTCTTTTTGGTTCCTCAGGGCACTCTACAGAAGTTTGTGGATGACCTCTTTGAGACCATCTTCAGCACAGCACACAGAGGAAGTGCCCTTCCTCTTTCTATCAAGTATATGTTTGACTTCCTGGATGAGCAGGCCGACAAGCACAACATACACGACCCGCACGTCAGACACACATGGAAGAGCAACTGGTAAGATGCCTCGCACACATAAATATAAATTCATATTTATTATATAATTTTGAATAATATATATGAAAAATAGGTCCAAAATTGGTCCATATATAATACAACCTAAAATGAAACTGAAATGCAAAACTATAATAACAGACCCATAAAAGCAGATAACTTGACACTGCCCCTAATGTAGCTGTAACCACGGACATCACCATGGCATTGAGTATGAGAGAAATTAATAAAGCTCATTTCTAAATTAATTTCACTCAACCAATTTAGAGGCACGTCCCCATAGTGGAAGGGGGTTGTGAGGGTTAAATAAACAAGCAGCAGATCGAGTGAGAAAGGAAGAGGTTATGAGGTGAGAGGGTGGAGTGGATGAGAGTGGATGGTAATCTATCATTAGCCTCTGCCAACGTCCCATCACGCACCACCCCAAAGGGCTATGGGGGATGAAGTGATGATATTGATGTGAGGGCACGGCAGGAGGGGCAGTGGGTACAGTCCCTATTTACTTTGTTTTATAGACCTAATTTCTCCCCGTCTCCCCCCGCAGTGTGTTTCGGGGCCATTTGAGAGCGTTAAGTGATTTTGGAGAGCACAGAAGGTCACTCTTGCATTGCACATTAATGGAATCGTTCTCACAAAGAGTGGAACGTTAAATAGCGATTTATCATCTCACACTCATCTCTGGGCATTACAGCCCGATGCCACTGTGGCATCTGTGATATTTTTTAATGCGCGTGAGAGGGTCTTCTACAGGACTAATGCACTGCTACCCAGCTTTTTGCTGACAACTAATGTCTCTCACAGAAAATGAAATAGCTCCATTTTCAGATATTGTGCACAAAACAACAGGCTCAGCTTTATCTGTGTGGCTAGATGTGCTGCTGCCACCACACAGGCCATTAATTGAACCAGAGCCGTGGGTGGGGCATATTTGCTGTCTGTAGAGGATTTTAACACTCTAAAGCTAAATGCTTTTGGCCATGAAAGCACAGGCATAATCAGTATTTTGTTTACAGACTGTTAGTGTTTGCTCATCAATTCTCTTCACCAATTATTATTGTTCTTAATGGGAAAGAGAAATTATTTGTGCAGGGTGCACTGAGGGGTTTCTCGTTTTGATTGATTTTGCAAATGAGAGATTTCCAGACAATCCAGATGGCAACTTAAGATGTCCAAGTCTCTTGCTTATCCTCTTATTTGAGTGTGTCCTACACAGACAAACACTTCTTTAATATTAGTAGCGAGAATAACAGTCTAGACCACCAAAATCTCAGCATGAAAACTTGCATCTTTTTCACTAATCACCCGTTATGGAGCACAATTTAGCCTTCTTAAAGAGCTGAAAGATGTTTAAAAGCAGATTTTTGGCCATTTGTGCAGTTATCTGATTCACATAGATTAGGTGAATCTGGTGCCAAAACAATGCATAAAGCAAATGCAAATAAACAATGCTATCAGTGAATTCTGTGTGAATCCCATGGACATCTAGATTGACTTTCATTCAAACAAATCACAACCTAAATGATGGATTCCTCAGTTTTGTTACAAATCTTTTCTTCAAATGCATCAAAGGAAGCCTTAAGCATCAGATCTTTAACCAAAGCCAGGCAGAGATGGATTGCTGATGGTCGAGGCTCTTGTGAATCATCCATCATGCCATTGTCTATCTTGTGACTGGCGGTACAGCCTGTCAATCAAAGTACAAGCTGTCAATGCACAGATACAGATAATCAAAGCAGTTTGATTGGTGTGGTTAAATTAACTCTTTGTTGAGCTACTCAAAAGCAAATGACCAAAATTAATACTATTTAGTTTTCAAAGGGGCGTTCACTGATTTGTGGCAGTGACGATGCAACAAAGTTAAACAATGCAAAAAAAAAGCTATTATACATTGTAACAATGTTCGTAGATCAGGAAGAAGGAGGTGGGAACCTGCGAACATTTAAACATAAAACTTTAATAAGCAAACGAACACACAACAAAAGTAAAAGCGGCAGCCCCTCACAGACGACTGCCGCATAAAACATAATAAAACAACAACATAAATAGTCCAGGCCTGGTCCTCTCTCGTCTTGCACTGTCGTCACTCCTCCTTTTATCCTTCCGGAGCTCCTCCGTGGGACTCGAGACCGGTGAGTGGCGCAGGTGTCGCTCATTGTCATTTACTCCACCGGCCCCGCCCCACTCGTCACATACATACAGACATATTAATGTCCATAAACTTGGCAAATGTCAAGTAAGAATTTGCAAAAGTACATATTTTCAAAATAGACTAGGCGATTGGTCCAAGTTGCAGGTACAATCACCGTTATTCAGCTAATTTTTGTGTGTTATTTTTTCATTAGGATTCCACACAATCGGGAAGATTTCCTGATGTGGATTTCACAACGGGTTCAAGTTGGTCAACACGGTGGGCCTTTCTTGCCTGCGAAATTTGGCAGAAATTTCACCGAATTTTGCAGATATGACCGCACATTTAAAGTCCTGTAGAATTAGGCTGGTCTCAAGTTCACCTGACCTCGATCAAATGCATTTCTAGATAAACCTCACTAATCCACTAGTCCGAACACTGAGATACATAAGACATTAATTTTTACTTTTTTGGACATAAAACTATGGTTCCATAGTACATCAGAACCATTTTGCACGTTACAAAAATTTCTACCTTTACACAAAAAAAGCAGGCAGAAGAAACCCAAAAGACTGACAGAAGAATGTGAGGCTTTTCCCAGAGAGGGCTGCGCTGAGCTGAGTGCTATATTTAGCTGGGATCTAGTCCATCCAGACATCATTCCCATCTCCTGATCCACTCACTCTCTCCGCTGAGAGCTCTCTAAAGTATGGCGCTTCAAACACGTCCTGCTTTTTGTTCTGTCCGGAGAATATGATCTACACAGAAGCCAGCTGTGGCAGGTTTACGAGGGTGTCGACTCGTTGTTAAAGCATTGATATCCTTTTGATAGAGCGCAGATAATCCCAGTTGATTCTCTCTGATTAATTTGGGAGTCATAATACGTGGTTTGCTCTCTAAATCCTCTTTGGTGCAGTTGTTATTTTTGAATGAATTCAGAATGCAACAGAGAGAGGGGGCTGCTACGGAAAAGCTTTTGTTGACTGTTTTCTCTCTTTTTCTTTGATGCAAAACTCTGCATCCATTTCACTGCAGTGTCCTTTCTTATTCCCTCGTCTCCTCTCTTCAGTTTTTGTTATCTAAGACAAAACCAAAGCTGTCTTGAAAACTAATGAGAACTCTGCAGTCTCAGACACATGCGCACAAAGTCCCAGACCAAACAACATCTGTGACCCTTGAGACGTGCACGCACACACTCCTAAGTTGATTTCACTTTAGCACAAATGGGCTGGGGTATAAAGTAGCCTTGTATACGTGTATTGTTTTGGACAGGTGCACAATTGCAGGGCAGCACTCAGATACAAACAAACCAATATGAGATGTATTAGTAAAGCACTCAGAGTATGGCTCAAATACTCATGCTGCCATTTCAGACTGGAAAAATTGGCACTGCACACCTCAATTAAAATGATTTAATTTATCAATATCATTCCAGTATCTATTCAGTATATATTTAATAAACTTATAAGCATTAAAAGCAGTCTGATGTTTCATAAAGCCACTGCTTCCTGTTCCAAAACGGCCTTTTTATGCATTAAAGAGCTTTTGAAAATAAAATTCCATTAATACATTCTCTGTTCTCCACAGCCTACCTCTACGGTTCTGGGTGAATGTGATCAAGAACCCACAGTTTGTGTTCGACATCCATAAGAGCAGCATCACGGACGCCTGTCTGTCTGTGGTGGCACAAACATTCATGGATTCGTGCTCAACGTCAGAGCACCGCCTGGGCAAAGACTCCCCCTCTAACAAGCTGCTGTATGCCAAGGACATTCCCAGCTACAAGAACTGGGTGGAGAGGTGAGCAAGAACATTTTTATGGTTACAAGATTCCCTTTCTAGATCTTTCAAAGTGATTGAACATACAAACAAAGACTGTCAATCACAGTATCTGGTGGACCACCGCAGCCTTAGAAATCCATATCAGAAAGAGTAGACTTCCATATTCCTTCGGTTTGCATGGTTCTAAGGTCTTGGTGTGAAGAGATCGGGTAGAAACATGGAGAAACTGCTGTTTTAATGTGTATGCATGTGTGAGGGAGAATGAGAGACTGTGTCTGAGGTGCACTTGTGAACGTTTTTAATCAGAAAAGATGCAAAGGTACAGTGTTTATGTGGGTATCAGCGTGAATAAAAGCCCAGAATTTTATTATGTCCTGCAGGTATTGTGTGTGTGTGTGTGTGTAGCTGCTGGTAATCAGACTGAAGTGTGTTGTAGAGCTCCAGGATGATGAATTGCAGCTCTATTGTAGTTCAGTAGATCTTCTGGGTCTACCCAACACTGCACCAAAGCAATTAGTCACTGTTTAGTGAGAGAGACAAACTTTTCTGCTTTTCCCACAATCCTCTGGGTCAGAAACTCTATGTTCAAAAATGCCAAGAAAGTAGAAGCAATGACTGTAAAAAGCTGCATCTGAAATTGCATGCTGTCTAGTACGTACTGCATTTGGGTATTTCGTTCGTGAACGTTTAAGTATGTAGTATGTATATAGGTAGTCTGAATGAAATTCAGACGCTGTCACGTGACCTACTGGCATCAGTTGCGTCACTTCACTGCCATTCACAACTCCTCGCCCAAGGCTTCATGGTACTTCTTGCCTACTGTTTTTCGAATGCTATGATTTGAACATAACACTTTTTTGGCATACTGGTGTTTTTCGCATACTATATAGTATGGAATTAGGCATATTCAGACACAGCTAAAGAGCTTTGAATAATTCTATTGTTTTCTGCTCAATTCAGCGCACCGCGCTGGTCTACTCAAGCCCACCACCCTACAGTAAACAGCACTGATAAAACTCATCAGCGCCGTGTGTCTCTGCTCACGCACACTGACCCTCAGACTCTGACTAACGTGTTTATTTGCCGTGAGGTATTAGAGGCTGCAGGAGGAGACGGGTAGCTGGCAGACGAGCATGATGGGGAAAATGATAGAGAGAAAGCTCATTTTCATGCATTAGCTAATGTGTTACACATCTTTAAGGACTGAGATCATACTACTCAAACGTGCCTACTGAGGTGAGAAAAACCTGCTTTAATTATAGGTGCTGACATATATGTGTTTAAACCAGGAAAAATACGTTCTCAAAGATACATTCTTTGTTCTGAGTTACAGCTCTCACGTTACTCCTTAATTGGTTGTTTTCTGTAATATCCTGATAGGTGACAAATCTGTGTGAATTGAGACAATCCTTCTGTTTCCTTTTTGTCAGATGATTTGAGAAGAGATCCTTTCATGTCTTCATAAAAATTAATGTCTTCATTCAAAATTATATATATATATATATATATCTATATATATATATACATATGCTATATATATACAGTGGTTAACAAATTTATTAGATCACCACCACCCAATGTGGTGCCACAGCTGCCCTAAACTAACAATATTGGTGATTACCAAAATAGTTTTTTATGTTTCTGTAATGGTTAATCCATCAGTATGTGTAAGCTTTTTAGTCACAGTAGTATTTGTAATGCTAAAATATAATTGTTGTTATCCATGAATTTTCAAATTTACTGTTTTATGAGAAAGGCAGAAGAAAAAGTAACCCACTTTTTTTATTCAGATGCCCAATTACAGTCAATAAATACAGTCTAATAAATTTGTTAAGCACACCACCTGTCATAATAAAGAGAAAACTAATATTTTAGGAATCTGGTAAAAAAAAAAAACTTGTTTAAAAATAAAATAAACTGAAACAACTAAATTAGTCTTTATTCACACATAATAACAAAAAAACGTAATATTTTTCAATATATAAAAATGTAATTTTTGCTGTTTGCTGTGAACAATTATAAAATGTATATTCTATTCAATTTATTTTTAAATGCCATTTCAAGTTTATTCATTGGTCAGAAAGTGTAGCAACTATTTAGTAATTTGCAATACATGCACGATACGAGGGAATAACCAGCATGGACTTGTTCTGGCTGACGAACAGCTGACATTTAAACGTGCTATTAATTAGTGCCAGACGAGCTGCCTGTCATTAGCCTTGGGAAGCAGAGGGCGCAGAGAGAGAAGCTAAACTCAAATGTGTGAACTCGTTTAGGAAGTGTACCTGATTCCTTTGGGAAGGCCATACCTAAAAATTACAACTCCTCACTATCTCTCTCGTTCAACACCGTGCCATTGTCCTCCGCTGATGCCCCATGGTGCATTGCAGCACATACTTGCCACTCAAGGTGCTCCCGGGAGCCTGAAACAGACACGCATGCCACCGGTTAGTCAGTCAGTGTGTTGAGTCCAGGAGTTGGCATGGTGCAGGAATTCAAAATGTAAATGACTTGCCTTAATTAAAGAGTCGACAGAGCCTCTGCAGGTGACAGTGATTGATTGCTTTTCCTCCACCAACACTCTTTCACTCACTCACACGCACCAGCCACCCAAAGACAACAGATAGTGTTGCTCCGTTCCAAAACCTAGTGAGCTGCCTACAGAGACAGCATTTTAAGGCATCGTGGGTGCTCACCAGGCACGAAGGCTGTTCCAAAAGATAGGCATGTTAATTATACTGCCTCATAAGATACCCTGTAGCATCACATGTTTCCTCCATGGAAAGGCAATCCCAGAATGCATTTTGAGTTGAGTGGAAAAAAGTTGGTGAATGAAGCGAGAGAAATATGGATTGGATATAATAACCATGTTTCATTCAAAATTAAAATTATGGATAAAAATGTTTGTGTGTTTGTAAGCTTATTTGTGTATCACACCATTAGCTTATCAATATGGTAACATCAAACACAATTGCAAGTTTTAATACAAGACGTTTCTGCCTAGCTAGAGTGTTCCAAATCACATATGAGGTTCCATGATGGTTGCAATGCTGTCTACCTAAGCAGTGGTTCTGGAAGAGTGCTTGTATCTACAATAACTGTGTGCTTTTATGTGCACATTTTGTTTTGGATGTGCTAGTGTGTGTTTAGTGTCAGCGTATGTGTGGGGCACATTTATTGAATCTTTCCAGCATCCTATAGATTCTGCTGATCTCTGGAAAACTTTCAAGGACAGCGGCTCATTAAGACTCACAGTCACTCGCTGATGTAAGCTGCAGCTGTACTGCCACAGAAAGTAAATGCCAAACTGATTGGAAGGGGCGTGACAGCTCTCACTCAGTGCCAGAAATGACCCTGAAACATGTTATTCTTATTCTACATGAATTATAAAAAGGCTTCTTAAGCCCCGTCACCTGTCCAAGTTCTAAATGTTTGTTAAATAATCTGTGCTATTTCTGTTTCTCTGCGTTTCTTACAGATATTACTCCGACATTAGTAAGATGCCTGCGATCAGTGATCAGGATATGAACGCATATCTAGCAGAACAGTCCCGTATGCACATGAACGAGTTCAACACCATGAGCTCCCTCAGCGAGATCTACTCTTATGTGGGCAAATATACAGAAGAGGTACAGAAAACTATTAGCCTGTTAAATTGCCACATTTTAAGTGTAGCACACACATTTGTTTAGCTGGATCTCACAATGACGGCTAAGAACATGTTCAAGATATATTTTTCCCAAAATTAAGATAAAAAAGTAAATAAAAGTGAAAAGTGCAGATGAGAGGGATATGTGGTTATTTGGAGGCATGTGTAACTGATGTGTCATCTCCCTCTGACAGATTGTGTCTGCGCTGGAGCAGGATGATGGTGCCAGAAAACAGAGACTGGCCTATAAGCTGGAGCAGGTGGTCGCCTTCATGAGCCTGGAGAGCTGAGGACCACATTTCCCAGAGTGCACTGGGAGATCCATCAGAAACCGAGCCGTGCCTGATTGAAGACCTGTTCATCTATCTCATCTCTTCTGTTTGCAATCTTCCCACAAAAACAAGCGTTTGCATCGTATTAGCTCTGCTTTCTAGAAGAGTAGAGATGGGAACTGGAGGGTGGGCGGAGGAGCCAAGGACTACATTACCCATGATGCAGTAGAGTGGGTGGCCATCCGGCTCTGCTGTGTAGAGGAGGGGTGGCTGCCTACGAGTTCCACGTCACTGCATCCTCCATCCTTCTCCCTGACTGGAAAAGAGAAAAAAAAATTCTGTTGCCTTCAAAGTTTAGCTGATAAGCAGAAACCACAATGTTTGGTGTCAATTTGTTCTGACTTTTATGACTAATATTGAGTCCAGTTCATTGTAGTACCTTTATGAAACACTGAAACGCAAGACGAAAAAAATGGTACTGCATGAATCTGAAGAATGCAGTTCATTCGGGCCATTTCAAAAGACACAACACCTTGATGACACTGGATTTACGGGACACACAAGATCATTTATACGCTTTGATAAAAGAACAATCAAGCCTTGAGAATCCCAACCGCTTATTCTCACTTTGAAGACAGTAAGGTGTATTTAAAACCCTCTACATTTAGCGGGACACAGCAAGTTAGTGCATCAACTCTTTTGTCTCTTCCGGGACCTTACCTGACAGTGAAACTGAAAGACGAGACCTATCGTCTTGTGGGATACCCACATCTTCACCACTTCACCACCAGCCTTCATTTCGGCATTTATCCGGCTTGTGCACATCTGAATTGATCCTCTCTTATCTAGATGAGTGGAGGAGAAGCCAAGGTTCGTTCCCCTTAGAATCAAGCACACACACACCCCTCTTCCAGAGAGCGACGCCTTCTCTCTGTACTCCAGCGAGGTTGTCAGGACCTACGCTGTGCTGCAAGAGGACGAAGTAATCTTAACAACAAAAAAGCACATTCAATAGGTGTCTCAGTTCACACATCCAGTAGGGGGACCTTAATTACAAAATATCCTACTCAGAATTAGCCGGTAAAAGGGGGAAATGGCGCATTGTTGAAAGTGCACACGTGCAGCCTGCACTGTTCACTGCCACAGGGTCCTACCCGTAACGAACACTGGAAGCCTCTAGAAAAACTCACACGTGGACAAAGTTGGTCAGCAGAAAACCAAAGGAGCCCAATTTAAAAAAAAAATTAAAATAGCAAAGCGAATAAATTACCCCTGAGAAAGCAAACACAAGGCACTGTTTGTTTTATGACCTGCAGAAGGAAACTCCGTCTGCAGCCTCATATTTGTTACTGTCCATTATTCTGTGTGAAGAATAATGGACAGTAGACCATTATTTGGTTATTGCACAACTGGGAAGGCGGAAAGAAATCCCGATTTGAAGTTTAAGGGCTTGCTGTAGTTTAAATGTTAAAAAAAATTAAAATAGCAAAGCGAATAAATTACCCCTGAGAAAGCAAACACGAGGCACTGTTTGTTTTATGACCTGCAGAAGGAAACTCCGTCTGCAGCCTCATATTTGTTACTGTCCATTATTCTGTGTGAAGAATAATGGACAGTAGACCATTATTTGGTTATTGCACAACTGGGAAGGCGGAAAGAAATCCCGATTTGAAGTTTAAGGGCTTGCTGTAGTTTAAATGTTGCTGGCGGCCTTGAGAGATGAATCTTACCTGGGCTTAATGACTCTAAAAGCAAACGGATGGCGTGATGAGGACGTAATTAGTATTGGATGTAACTTTGACAATGGGAAAGAGACAATTTAGCTGCCCACCTTTCCTCTGTCCTCTGACCCCCTCTTTCCCCTTGACAGCGTACCCTATGTGGTGATGTGAAAGTGTGGAGAATCTGCCCAGGTCCACCTTGGGTGCTTTATTGGCTTTTTCAGCGCATGTATTTCAATTTAAACTTCAAAAAAAGGAAAACAGAAAAAATAAGCCTTGCAATTGATGATGTGGATGTGTTCTTTTCTTTCTTTTGCTTGGAAGAACGAGATGGAAAAAAGTGGCTGTCATCTTCAAAATTGCAACCTCTTGTTAAGGTGGAACCTTTATCCTGCCCTTCCATTCAACTGCCATGACCATGTTTTGTGAATGTGTTAGATGCTAATAAGACTAAGGTAAAACCTTAAGCAGATATAGTATATACCCTTGCATGCTGACCTATTTGGATGATATGAAATGAACTGCCTTGCTATCAATTTATCTAATACTACTAAGGATTTCTAAACCGAATCAAACTCTTGTTAGACTTTCATCAGACTCCTTTGCTCTTTTCCTGTCAGGTGGATTGCCTTTCTCGAAGGCCATCTATCTGAGAGTTCTCGTTCACCGATCACGTTCACGCTGAGCAAATATGACCACGACATCACATGCCAGTCCAGTCACACCTAACATACTATCACAACACATTACATTTGTGTTTTTTTACTGTACGTCTTTAATGTGCAACTCTAAAGAGTTGATTCCCTGAATGTGTCCGTATATTATTATTTTATTATATTAAATTATATTATTTGAATCATTTTGATGCAACCTAATTTTCAAGATTTCATTAGCATTACACCAAATTATTTTTTAAAGTTGTTTTGGATATTGTCTCTGTATGTGTGATTGCTTTGGGCTCCCTTGTGTTATTTTTGGTTGTAGCTTAGTAACAGAGAATTGAGTTGAGGTATTGCGGGATTTCAGGTACACAGCTGCCCCCAACTAAAGGCGGGCGTACACGGTGCGATTCTGAAGGTCGGAACGTTGTGAGCTCTGGCACATGTCACGATTGAGTTTATCCGAAAATCGTACGGAGGCAGTCTTCCTTTATGCCCAAAAGACCTGATAAAGTTTCCACCTTAAACATTTTGTAAGAACTAAGAAGTCCTTTTAGCTCAGTGTTACAACAGGCATTGCAGAGACCTGTTCGAAAAGACTTTTTAATATTTCCAGATTTGATGCAAGATAGATGTATCCTGATGGGAGGAGAGGAAGAGAGAGACCAGCGGAAAGACAAGCTTCTCTAACTTTGTTATAATTAATTGTATACCTGTGTATGTAAATATAATGCATTCCTATTTTGCAATCAAGAACAAAATACTATTTGTAATATAGAATAAACTTTATTATGAAAAATATGGCGTTTTCTGTGTTCTTTTGTGTCTGTACCTTGCTTTGAATTAGCTTAATGGGGAAGTCAGAGAAGTTGTGGTTTCCATGGAAACAGAAATTGCGGCAAAAGAGCTCAGCAGCACCTGCTCCCACAAAGCCCATTCACACAACTTTTAAAACCGTTTCAAATAAACTAAAACTATTTTCAACATAGCTGTCTATGAAAGAATATAATCTCACTTGTATACTATGACAAACACCGAAGACAGTTATATTCATCAATCTCTAATCTGGTTGCATATGGCCTCAACCTTCACTTCCACCCCTCTAAACCAGACCTTTTCTATTTCTTTTCCTGCTTCAATAACACTAGAGCATTTTTACAACCATCATCTTGCAGAAAAACAAAGACTCAGGCTTTAACCACCTCCTGTCTCACAGTGCCAGAGGGCTCAATTGCCACCTTTATTACATTCCATCTCATTGCACTGTATCGCTTCTCTCAGTTAACGAGAAACCGTTCTTCTCCACAACTCCAGTACGTTCCCCCTGACCTTTCAGCGTTTGTCTCTGGGCTCTCATGGAGGAAGGTTAGAGCGAGATGGTCATTTTAAAATCTCTTCACAAAAATGCCACCTCACAACATGTGCTAAAAGCGTCTGCCCTTGTTGAGTGATTTCTTGCCTTTTAGCCTTGAGCGCAAGGTCATTGTAACAGCAAGGATTTACTGCATAGTGGTCTGACTGGTTCTTTTCAAAACGCATGGAATGTTAAATCTAGTTCCTCTGTTCCAATCTACCAACTCGTTTTCCTCTGAATCTATTCATTCCGGAACGTTCCAACAGAATTCTCTCCAGCTGCAGACGCAATGCGGGCCGGCTAATAAGAATGCAGGGTGAATAATGGTGGACTAATTCCTGGGATTCACTAAAATGGTTATTGACAGCTGCAAGGGAGCAGATGGAAGCAATTAGCATTATTAGTTGGTTGTGCTTTGTCCTATCTAAGTAAACATCTGTGAAAAGACAACAGATCCGGCAAAGGCTCCCATCGAGTAAACAGAGAAAACCAAACAGCTCAACTGAACGTTGAGATGCTGCAGACAGCAATGAGATCTGCCATCCACGGCCCACACAGAAAACTGAACAGCTTAGGAATAAATATGATTAAAAAAAATATATCAACGTGCTGTCTGCGCCCATCTGGAGGAACAGAGATGCGATCATTATCAAATTCACCAGAAATGGCCCAAAAGGTAGAGCTAAGAAAAAGACAGCTGAATAAGAACACTTAAGACTTCTGAGAATGTCTAAAGTCATGCTGAATCCCTTGTGGTGCTACTCATTTTCCAAAAGAACCATTTCACAAGGCGCAGATGAAGAAAGGGAAACACACAGCTTTTACCCATCCACTGTAAATTTTTGTATCAGTGATAGAGCAGCACTGCCCTCCACTGCTTCTCTCTCTATACCAACCACAACCCCTCTAAAACTATTGATCCGTTCCTTTCCAATACCAAGACTCACAAGTATTAGCCCTTCAATGTGTGCTTTGGAATCAGTTACCAGCCCAGGTTCATTTTCAAAATTGAGTTCATCGTGTGTGCAGCGATGCTTAATTTTCTAATAAATGCGTGACGCTCTGGCAAATGCATGTTTCATATGAGGAAAAATTGATTGTGGCACAGACCATGTTCAAGTTCTGATTGCATTATTATGTTTGCATGTCTCCGACAGAATTGGCTGTTTAATCTAATTACTGTTTTGTTGTGTGGTGAGATCAAACATAAGTATTCTCACGAAGAGTGCATCTATCATGTGGAAAAAACAGACTATTGGATTCAACAGAGGAGTATATAACGTGTCTTAAAACAGCATACAAAGCAAAACACTTTCTTTTCCCGTTTTTATCTGACGGTTAGGGACCTTAAAAATGGGCTGCCAGTCTGTTCTGATGGGTTATGGACATCAGGAAACAATAATGCTAAATGCAAACAATAAAATGCGAAGTTATAGTCATGCATAGTAACAATAGCAAAATCTTTTGAAGTCGCCATGAAAAATTCACCCTATTTTGTTATAGATCTTATTGTGAATGATTCATGCACGTTTCATTTAAAAAAATGTTGACCCTGTAATGTTTGATAAAAACTTGCATAATGTTTAATCAAGATCTTATAATGAAATCGACAGACTTCTCTCTGGTGATGTATATGTCAGACTCCAATGTAGTCCACCAATTTCATAAAATCAACTTCAAGCTTGCATTCATTTTTGAATGCAATGGCCACATCTCACAATTAAAAAGTAGTAGATAGAACCAAGTCCCTGGCCTACATTTTTTTGTCTTTTTCAATAATCCATAAAACTCAGATATATGGAAGAAAAGATCTGTCGCTACTACTTCATCACGACTTTAAAGAGGAGGAGAAAATGCTTCCCATTTGTTGTTGATGTCATAGGCTGTTCAGTCTAATCAATCTGTGCCTTTTTAGCTTATCATAATATTACATATTGTTGGGTCTATGAAGCTCCTGGTGATACTAAAATGTTTAATTTTTGTTTACTTTTGTACAATAAACAATTGGTTTGTTGCTTTGCCATTTGATATCCAAAGTAAAATCTGGGTCCTGCAGCAAAGCCAGTTGTTTTATTTGACTCATTTTGCAGCTTTGTGGATATTATGCCCAAGCACTGTAAAACAACCCTAAACGCTGTAGGGACTGACTGATGTTGGTGTAAATTTAAAAAGTGCCTTGGAATACAACGCCTAGCAGCAAACATTCCATAACATATGAGCCCTTTTGTCAAGCTTAAAACCCATATGCCACACATTAATATGACGTCTGCATTTTTTATGCAAAAAGCTTCAACAATCAACGGTGTAGAACTAGCATTTCTATAAATGAAAGCACAAAGTATCTTGATTGCAACTGGCTACCTGTACTTTTTGTCAAACATATGCTCTCAGTCCCTCTGAATCTGTCTGTCTCTCATCACTTTTCCAATGCTGGTGACTCTTTTCTCCAATATGATGAACACTGCTGTAATGAAATTCCTTCCCCATGGCTTCAGTCAAACAGTGGAAAGATGCCCATCACCTGTGTCTGGCCACCCTCTCCCGGCACTGCCTGAATAAACCCATCTCAAACATCAACGACTGACTAATTTTCATGCTATTGATTAATATCAGAAAAGCCGGCAGACATGAACGTCACGTCTTTGTTGCGGTCCTTTGGGAATATTGCATGTGCACTGCGAAGAACGAGCAATGTTTTATAATGAAAAGCAACAACAATGTTCATT